AAGGAGCAAGAAAATGCGTTCACATCAGTGAAGCAATCTCTTGTTGAGGCACCGATCTTGGCATTGCCAGACGCGGAAAAGCCCTTTAGCGTCGTCTGCGATGCAAGCAATTTTGCAATCGGCAGCGCGCTCATGCAGAAGGATGACAACGGCGTTGACCGTGTCATATCTTATCAGTCTCGGCTTTTAAAAGCTGCAGAGCTGAATTACCCGGTGCATGACAAGGAGCTACTTTCAATTAAGTATGCCCTTGTAAAGTTTCGGGTGCACCTCTTGGGCACCGAACCTTTTGTGGTTTATACGGATCACGCATCACTGAGGACCGCTATAAATTCACCGCACCTCTTGCCGAGAATGGCAAGATGGCTAACATTCTTCTCTGAATCTAATTTCAAAGTTGAATATAAGCCGGGTAAGTCGAATGTCTTGGCTGACGCTTTATCGCGCAGAACAGACTTCGAGGCAAGAAACCAGGAAAGTGTGTCTCGTGCGAAAGCACAAGGTGAGTCGTCAACATTGGCAGCCATGTAGGCCTACCATGTGACGAGCGCAATGGCCTCCGATATCAAGGAGTGTTACAGTCAGAACGAACATTGTCGCCTGCTGTTGGATCATGTTGGTGTACAAAAGGTTACCCTTCCCTCGCATATCAAAGCGAAACTAAATCGCTTTAGTCACAGTGATGGCCTGTTATGGCATCACCTGTCACCTGTGATCCCTTGAGAATCTATGTCCCTCATGACACAGATCCCAAGCTGATGATGCGATGATGCGCCATCTAGTGGGCATCTGGGCCGTGAAAAGAAATTCTTACGAGTGTCAGAGGAATTTTGTTGGCCCCACCTATATCAGTGGGTGGCCAACTATATTCGATCTTGCGAAGAGTGTTAGCGCATAAAGCCTGCATCTTCGAACAGTGCGCCACTGAAGCCACTGCCGATTCCAACTGAATGTTGGAAGTCGGTCAGTTTGGACTTCATGTTTGTCTTACCGCCTGACCATAAAGGCAGGACGGGGCTCGTCGTCTTTGTAGACAGACTGAGCAAGATGGTGCATTTGGCACCATGTAGCACCAAGATCTCAGGAAAAGAGGATGCCCTCTTGTTTCTGGATCACGTGTATCGACTACACGGGATGCCCGAGTCCATAGTATAGGACCGGGATCCGCGTTTTACGTCGGGTTTTTGGCGACATGTGTTTGAGCTGCTGGGAAGCAAGCTCCACATGTCAACCGCTGATCATCCCCAGACCGATGTCCAAACAGAACGGGCCAATCGAGTCGTGGCGGATGTGTTTCGTACAGTAGCCACTCCCAGAGAATGGAGCAAGCAATTGCCATTCGTGGAGTTCGCTATTAATAACAGTGTTCACGCCAGTACGGGTGAAACACCGTTTTACATTAACGGACTGCGTCATACTCGAGCGCCAGTCTCGTTTGTACGCAGCCCGAGTCTTAGTGGTGGAGGACCCTTCCTTCGCTCGGGTGCGAATGCCAAAGAGGGCCAAGGTTGACCTAGTGACACTGCTAGTTTAGCAGTGGTCACGATGTCAATGGGGATGCACGGCAAGAAATGCCAGTGCTCCTTGATGATGACACTATAGTGTTATCGACAGCGTCGACCCATGAACGACCTCTTGGAGGCGTCATAGGCGAGCTGGATGCTAAAAGCATGAGCGAAGTTCAGCGCTTTGTGGATGAGCGATTAGCCATCACACGTAAAGTCCGTGACGCGATGGCAAGCGCACAGGACAAGCAAAAAAACAATATGCAGACCAGCATGGTCTCAAAAACAATGAACACTTTAGTGTGGGGGACAAAGTGCTATTAAGTACTGCTACCCTACCTAAACATGCAATTTCTGTACTACCTGGTGGTACTAATAAGCTATTGCCCCGTTTCATTGGGCCCTTTACAGTGGTTGAAGAAGTTGGAGACCTAAATTATAGGCTCACTCTCCCACCGTATATGAAGACGCACCCCGTAATTTACGTGGGTTGTCTGAAACGGTATGTTGATCCAGAAGAGATCACATATCCACACTCGGTCTAACGAGACCGATGGTGACGTCGTCTGTGAGTCGAGCGTCGTGAGCGATCAGGCGACGAGAAAGCCGAGAGGCTCCCCATATACGAACGAGACGATAGAGGACTCGGCGATCGAGGATGACTCCGCGCTTGACGCGGGTCTCTCATCACCAGTCGCTCTAAGATGTCCAAACGGGTCTTCAGGCGGTCATACCCCTGAAGGTTCCTCGTCCTCACATCGCGCAGATCCACAGTAAGTCGCGAGACTTGACTCTCGAGATCTGCCACCTGCCTCTTCAGCGCAGCGAACTCAGTCTGCGACTGAACAGCAGCAGGGTAGGCAGCCGCGAGTAGGTGGGCGTACTCGCCACTCCTATCGGGCGCCACCTGTGTTGGTGGACACGGAAGGGAATACGAGCTTCCTTGTTGGAAGGCTGTTGGCCCATCGGTTTGTGAAGCGAAGGCTCCAAATCCTTATCCAGTGGAAGGGTTACCCAACGAGCTTTGACTCGTGGGGCCTGTGGACGCTTTGCGCGTCGACGTACCTGGGCTGGTGGCTGCTTATGTGAAGCAGCACCAGCTGTCGTCCTTCTGCTAGGTCCGGATGGACTAGCAGAAGAAGCGTAGCGAGAATCAGTTAGGGGTCGCTTACCACCCAAGATTTCATGCGCACGCTTCATGGCGAGGATGATTCGATGCGACCGTTGTTTCGTTGCATCTACATGCCAACGTTACACGGCGCCGAAGTTCAGCTTCATATTCGTCTGCTGTTTCGTTAGAACACAGCACGACTGGAATTGGGAAAGCACGACCGAGTGATTTGCCCTGCTCTTTCCACAAGGAAAAGACGCTATAAAACTTATGTGCGTCAATAGTTGCACGCTGCAAAAGCCCTGCACTAACCCCATCCGAGTTCATCCACTCAGAGGGAGGTGGCATTGGTGGCAAGCCACCACTCACGTAGCCGCCCTCGCGACGGCGGGCTGGTGAGGCCGAAGGTATACTTGGTGGAGCTTTAAGCTGAGTCTGACTCTCCATTATGGATTGTCAAGACATCAGCATGAGGAGTCACATCTGACTGAGTCGCGACTACTCCTTTCGAAGTAGCGCGCTCAGTATTAGTCGCTGCGCTCTTAGGCGCAGGCGACGAGGTTTTACCTTTGCTTGCAGGAAGCATAGACGCTCCCTCAAGGACGGGTGCCTCGAATAATGGGAACATATGTCCCATCGATGCGCTTTGCTCATCTCCACTTTGGGGTGATGGCAATGGCGTAGTCTACAATGAGAGATGGATCTTCATCCACATTATAGTGAGATAGAAGATTTGCCTCAGTGCCTGAAGCACTTTGCGACGGCTGCGATAAATCGCGGCGCGTGCGCTTAGTGTTGGACTGCATGGGCGCCTTTGCAGGCGGCCCATCAGCCTTACCACGTTTCGGTGGCATGAGAATCGAGTAGACTAAGCGACGTGTTTACAACGGCTCGCAGTCTCTCAGTCTCCTAGGCGATGTTTTACAAAATGTAAAAATCGTTCTAAAACGGGGGATGGTGTAACAGGGCACCTAGTTACACGTAAACATTAAGTAATATACTTAATGTTTGGTCTAAAAGTATCCATGATTACTTTTGACCTATCACTTGGGTACGATACACAAGTGTGATCGACCCTCGTGAATGTGATATCCATTTATGGATTCACATGGGAAGGGATGACGCTAGTTGAAGCTAGGCATCGCGACGTCTCAGAAGGACGTCATTCGCAATCTTAAATCTAGATTTAAGTTCATGCGACAGGATACGCTTCTAAAGAGTCGCGTATCCGATCTATATACATATATATCCAATCAGTAGTTAAGTATATATTTAATTATAATTTATTAAATATAACTCAGTCTTGAATTTGCTAACACCGAAGCACCACGCACGAGAAGCTGAAAAAGCTTCTGAGTGACGTCGGTGACTTCTTGTTTAGAAGTTCGTTGCACTCTCGCTTTAGCGAGATGCAACTGGTGGTACGACTGCTTAAGCAGTCTACCAACCGCATAACCACCCTCGCACGCGAAGGTAAGACGGTCTAACCGCTTCCTCGCTTGTGCTGAAGGTGTGTGCTAGTAGCACGAGGCAACTTCGTAGAAGTGCCCGTCTACACATCCTATCTAATGAGCAAAGGTGGTGTCGACGATTGAGACTTCAGCTCCAGAATGGAATAACATAGTAGCCTTTTCATTGTTGATCTTGCCTACTCCCTTGGTCTGCTTGAACCATTTCGTGGGGTATGATGTTTGCTGTACCCCCGTGATTCACCTGGCGCTAGGTCGAGCTCCATCTTAAGCAGGCGATCGGGCATACTCGTCCACCCCTTTGATGCTTGATATGGAGCAAAAAAAACGAATTTGTACATGTATTGATCGCATTCATCCGCTTGTTAGCCTCTAAATCTGTCGATCTTCTTTCAACAAATACATAAATGTAGAGGGCTTGTCTCGCGTTCTCCGCCACCTTGACCTCTCCGATTTCGCCTTCCAGTCTGTCAGTCTTTTTGCGACTGTCTTTGGACTTGCGAAAATAAATCTACCGATTATAATGGTGCCATCTTACGCATCGATCTGATGTCGCCAAAGCATTCTCAGGTTCTTGCGTGCGAAAATGGGCGAATAATTTTCTAGTGGCCCTAGATTATCATCGTATACATTCTCGAATCGGTGTAAATAACACCATTTACAATAGACCTACCTAAAATAATACTCTTTGGACGTCGATAATATATATTTATAGATAATATTATATAATACAGGTATACTATAAGTAAAAGTGGCCGCTCAAAACCAAGTCAATTTATTATATTAAGGAGGTTACTATGTTATGGAGGCTTTATGTGACAGGTTTTACTGTACTAAAACTAGAAGCGAATTCACACGCGATCCTGCAAAACTTTATAATCTAGATCAAAAAACAACTCACCGCGACTCAACTGAATGGTTGACGCCAAGGTACAGACCGAGTCGTCTCTACCGGTACGTCTACAATACAACAGCAACTACTACTACTACTACTATCACTGGTAGTATCAAATTTATATTTATTTGTTCTTGTAGGCGACAGTGATCGGTCTGGAGCAGGATGTTCTCATTGGTAAACGCATTTGCAAAAGTTTTGGATCACGGAATTTTTGGGGCTCCATAATCGGTTGTTACTGGATTTCGGGAGGTTTATTCTATAAAGTGAGTTTTGATGATGGTGATGTGGATATTTTTTCATCCGATGAAGTGCTGCAAGATGCGGCAGTGGCCAAAGAACATGCCAAGGAGACACTGGAAAAGGGTCCTTCGATCAATACGAAAACGACAGTGGATGACTATTTTATGACCATGAGATATTATAATTTAAAGAGAAAGAGGGACAATGTGGTGGACATTACAGCTCTTCATACGAGACGTATTCATTTGTGGGGTCAAAAACTCTATGCAACCATCTACACCAATACACAAAATGAGACGTTTATTAGAGAAATGCTCAAGACAGAGGACGGAATAATGGGAGAGATGGAAGCTACTGGACAAGTTAAGGTGGGAGATATGATTCTGGCTGTCAATGAGATTCGAGTACTGGGGATGACGAGCAAGAAACTGGCAGAGCTTATTAGAGAGCTTAAACGTCCTATTGCATTGACATTCTATCGGCCGCAGAATTCAAGGATGGCTATGCAGCTGCAACAAGAACAGGCTCGACAGACTCAGGCTCTAGCATCGTCGAGTGCGCTGACGACGACGGTACAGACACAACCAATCCAGCAACATTCTACACAACCGATCCAGCAAAACCCGACACAACCGCAGTTTGTGCCGTCGGCTCAGCATGTTGCCACAATATCTCAACAACGAGCTCGTGTGTCGGCATCTGCTGTGGCGCCGTCATCACTTGGCGTTGCTCGACCTACGCTTGCACATCCTTCTTTGATGGCTCAAAACATAGCGGACCAGTGGATTAAAATGAGTAATATGTCGCGGACACATGGCTTATCGACCGAGGAAATAGTCAAGCGAAGACTGAGCCAGAAAATTGCTGCAAGGCAAGCCAACTTCAAGCCTGGATATCCGACGGGCAGGTTTGATAATGGAAATGTAGTTTCTGTCGGCGGAGTTCCTCCTACCCAAAGCAGTATGTATCCACCTCATCAGGTCCAGATTATGCAAGGCGTAGCTAACGCTGCTGCAGTGAGTTCTGCATCAGGATTTACTATGCCCGCCATACGTCATGCAAGGCCGACACACCTTTCGCCCGGAAGTCAATTTCAGTACAACCAGAAGCCTAGCCCGCGGCAACATGCCGGTCCGTTGACCTCTGAACAAGTACAGCAGACCAAAGCCGTGTCTGGTCCAAGTGGGCACATCAGTGAGCAAATACAATCCAGCGCTTCAGCAGAGCCGAGTGCAGGAGCGAACAAGAGTTCTGTTGCCTCACATGTCGAACCGAAGCAGCGAGTTACCTCGTTGCAGCCTGAAAGAGTCCAGCAGGAAGCTTTGACTACGTCTCGGCACTCCTCTAGTCAAGAACTCGCAAGCGATCAAAATTTTGCTGTGAGCACCCCACGGGGAAGCCTCACTTCGACAAATTCTGCACCCCCTATTAGCATGAACATGCTAACTACGCGTGACGCCGAAGCAGTTGCAAGACTAGCTCAGACGAATCAAAACGCTGCGGAGCAAGCCATGAGCAGGTCGACTAGTATAGCTTCGTTGCTGTCACCAAACCACGCTGCAAATGAAGAAAGGCAGCGTAATCAGCCGGTGCACATGCCAGCAACAACTTCGTTCTTGCCGACAAGTACATTGGGTGATAAAGACCAAGTCACGACAAAGCGCAAGACGACAGATTCGATGTCGTTTCTGTCGCCGAATGATTTCAACACTGAGTTTAGCATGCTGTCGCATCAGAATCTGTCAACAGGGACCGCAGGGAACAACCGTGCCGAAGTCAAGTCAAATGTTAGTCTTGTGACCGTAAGTGTTTCTCGTCGCCGGTTGTACCTCACTTTAGGTGTCCAAGGTAGCTTCATCGCTGTCACCTCCTTCGTTGTAGACGAATTTGGTCGACCTGGCGAAGTTGAGGCGAGCGGCAAGGTGTTTCTCGGTGATGTATTATTGCGTATCAACGAAACCTTCATCTCTGCTATATGGACGCCAAGTCATGTGGCCGATATAGTGAATAGGACGCCCCGGCCTATGACACTTTGGTTCAAGCGTGCATCGTGGGATATTCTAAACGGCAAGGCGTAGCTCAGTCAGCTGGAGAGATAACGTGAAGACTGATATTTAGAACGTGTGACGAATACACGCAGAGTAGCTGCTTTTGACCCATGTCGACGCAAAGCGTATTGTCTTATGCTCTCTCAAGCCACTACTTACTACGTTGTTCTCAGCATGCAGGTCTTTGGTCCGTGCTCAAAAGACGTTGTCGTACTTCTCCATGGCACCCGACACCGCATCGACAACCCTGACTTCGTTCATGACGTACACCGAGCGGAACGCACCCGATTCGTCAAAGCGCTGAATAGTGCGCAGACGCCGCGAGTTGTCTATACCTGTGATTGTCTCCACCATCAGCGGACATCCTGCACAATACATACAGCAATCAACCAAAACACTCGAGTAAGAAATGCAACACGTCGAAAAAGATACCACCACAACCAAAGGTCAATAACTCCCTAACCTGAACGCTTGGACGTGGCCGTGACAATGATAACATTTGTTCCTAGCTCCTGCATGGTAATGTCCGAGCCACGTAGCGTCGGATCATCCGTTTCAATCTTGAGAATGCCGTCCGACACGGGCTTGATCCACATGTGCTGCATGGACGTCAGTCCACTCATGGTTGTTCTCGATTGGCGTTGACTCCACACACCTTCATCGTCCCGGAACACGAGGTCATTTGAGCATACTTGACTGCCTTCATCCTGTTGTGGAATAGCAGCAAGCTCTCCATTCCATCGGCCTTCCATGCTTGGTAGCACATGGTAACTGCAGCCATTAACTCGTACTGAAAGTTGGTTAAAGAATGCTCGTCCTGCACCCATGTTTTTGTTGCTAAATTGTGACGGTAAATTGCCATTTGCCGAGCGTGAAATGATGCTCTTATCCATGCCTAGACGGCGTACAGTACCATCCGAGCCTGCAGCCCAAATGTTATCTTTACAAATTTACAAATTGACAATAAAATATCACGTTAGTAAAAAACCTACTTTAAAAAAAATAAAAATAACATAAAAAAGTGCTTTTTTACCTTCTTTAAGCATCTGCATATTAGTGTCCTCATGTTTTCGGCGGATTTTGATACTCTCGGCCAGTAGCTTGTAGTTCAGTGGCTGAAAAGGCTGATGAGCTGCATCAATGTGTACAAGCACATCTCCATCTGTAATTCCCAGCTCTGCCAATGTCTTTTCATCTGGTAATTCTTTCCCCTTATGTAGCAACAAAATATAAGTGGGGTGGTTCACATTCCCCCCATTCTCCTGATAAGCTGCTTTCACGCCTGCTATGGACTCGGATGGGGACGTGTCTAAAGTGAAAGCACTCGTTTCATTCTTGACAGTTACTTTGATCTTCTCAGCGCTAGTGCCGGTAGAGGAAGTAGAAAGAGAAGCCATTGAGGTCGTCACGTGATTATTTTGGTAGCGTGTAAATTTTATTGTGAAGGACTATTTTGTGAAAAGAAGAAGGAATAGATTCTAGAAAAGTCGAGGGAAAAAAGGAGACCAAAGACGATTTGAACGCCCAGTTGCTTCACACAATTTACTTACTATAACGCCCGCCATAAGTTTTCAGAGTTTAGGAAAGTGACCCAATTCGTTTTCGCCCAATTCTAAGCCAATGGTAGAAGCCTTTTATCGTAGCCAATGGTAGAAGGCCACTCGATAAAGTGTCGACAATTGTACCCAATTCTTCATTTCTGGGTACTCGTCGTAAGGTCCTCCCTCCCGCTCTGACTGTTGCCACGATGCTCGTCTTGCGGCCTCATTTGGTGCTTCTCCAGCGCGTCTCTCGCTCAGGTTTCTATCCTACCAATACAGTCGCTAGAACTGTACGTTCCTTTTCCTTTCCGACCATTTAAACTCGTTCCTGTGTCGTCAAACATGGGAGTGTATACTTCATGTATACTAATGATGTCCATGTATACATGTCCAGCCTCTATTGCTTTCCATGACCCGTAACTTGCCGAATACTGGAGCCAAGCGCACGCTGTTTAACATCACGCAACGTGGTAAACTCAAGCAGCTCAAGAGCTTGGAGCAGACGGCTAATGCTAATCCGGAAGACCCGTATACACAGCTCCGGTTTCTGCAGGAGCTTAACCGTAACAATTATCCGGCGCTCGTGGTCCGTCGTATTGAGGAGAACCGCTTTGCTGTAGACGAAGCTGTACAGAAAGAGTACGTCAAGGCACTGGTTAAAACGGGTCGACTTGATACTGTGGACCTGTCACAGCTCACTCAGCCATCCGGAGCCATTGGATCAGGTGCAGTCCGGCAGTTTGCAGCTAGTTCGACCATAGGCCGTGGAAGTCAGGGCTTATCGGCTCGTGACCCGGTCTACGTGTCTATGGTAGAAGGCAGTTTCAAGAGCAATATGTGGAAGACATTCAGGACATTGGGTGTGGCTTTCTTGGTCATTTCGGCACTGGGAGCTATTTTGGATGAGAAGATTGGCAAAATTGGTACAGCATCAAAGGTGATGGGTCCTACAGGGAGTGACAAACGATTTAGTGATGTCAAGGGAGCTGCTGAAGCTAAACAAGAGCTGGAAGAAATTGTGCAGTTTTTGAGAGATCCAGCACGCTTTACGCGCCTTGGTGGTAACTTGCCGAAGGGTGTGCTGCTTACTGGCCCACCTGGTACGGGCAAGACATTGCTGGCTAGGGCTATTGCAGGTGAAGCTGGTGTGCCGTTCTTCTACTCGTCTGGATCTGAATTTGAAGAGATGTACGTGGGTGTAGGCGCACGTCGCGTTAGAGACCTATTCGAGTCGGCCAAGCGAAAAGCACCATGCATCATCTTCATTGACGAGATCGACGCTATCGGTGGGACGCGTAAGCTGAAGGAACAACAGGCTATGAAGATGACGCTAAACCAACTACTGGTGGAGATGGACGGGTTTGATCAGAACAAGGGTATCATTGTCATTGGTGCTACAAACTTTCCCGATGTGCTGGACAATGCGTTGATCCGGCCAGGTCGTTTTGATCGACACGTGACGGTGGATCTGCCCGATGTGGCCGGCCGAAAGGAAATTCTCGAGTTCTATGGAGGCAAGATCCCTCTGAGTGAGGATGTTGACCTGGATGTGCTGGCGCGCGCTACGCCTGGTATGTCTGGTGCGGAGCTTTCGAATTTGGTGAACGAGGCTGCACTACGAGCGTCAATGAAAAGCGCAGATGTGGTGGATATGAACGCGTTCGAGTACGCGAAAGACAAGATTCTTATGGGAGCCGAGCGCAAATCCGCATTGATTACGCCTGAGTCGGCGAAACTCACTGCTTACCACGAGGGTGGCCACGCGCTAGTGGCGATTAACACTCCGGGCGCACACCCTGTATACAAGGCAACTATCATACCGCGCGGACAAGCATTGGGTATGGTTTCACAATTGCCTGATGGTGATCAGACATCCATTTCGCGAAAGCAGATGTTGGCACGGCTGGATGTGTGCATGGGTGGTCGTGTAGCGGAAGAGCTAACATTCGGCGATAACGAGATTACGGGCGGTGCGTCGTCTGACATTCAGCAAGCCACCAACGTCGCACGCGCCATGGTCACGAAATATGGCATGAGCGAGAACGTGGGTTTGGTGTTTCACGACCTTCGTGGCAACGACACAAGTGCCACAACTCGTAAGATCATTGACGATGAAGTGAAGAAGTTGTGCGACGCATCCTACAAACGCGCAAAGGAGATCCTCGTCAGCAAGCACTCCGATTTGGAGAAATTAGCCCAGGCGCTACTAGAGTACGAGACGCTGTCGGGTGCTGAGATTGACAAGATTCTCAAGGGTGAGGCGTTGGAGCGTAAGCCAATCGAATAAGTACCATACAGGGCAACACGAACGGCAGTTCTGTCAGAGCAAAAGAGCATGGATGGGAGTTGTACAGACAGAGGATGGTAGTGCGTTAAGGAGTATTTTTAACCCCACGAATGTCACTGTCTAACAAACCGGTTGACGGCCGCATGGGAAGAGAAAATGAAGGTGTGGATGCCGCTTGATGTTTGCTTTTGTCCAACTGACTTTTTGTTGTCATGATGATGCCGCCCAAAGAAACAAGTTGTCGTGCAACGTCTCAATGTCGTCAAGTATGCTTAACGTATATTCTAATCGAGTCCAATACTAGCACCACCTTGTCATCCTCATGAAATTACGCAGTCCTCGTTCGTTTCATTCGACTCATTAGTATGAAGTCTCTCTATTATTGATCACAGCCTCAAACTACATGAGATTATCCGTTTCATCTGGAATCTGCACTGTCATGCCTTCCATGGCTTTTGTCACACCAATTTGACAGCCCAATCGTGAAGTATTCGTAAGACCCCATGCTAAATCAAGCATATCTTCTTCTTCCTCGCTCATCGCTGGCAATTGCTCAAAAATACGCTTTTCAAACACCAAATGACACGTGGAACACGCCAATTCTCCACCACAGGCACCCTCTAGCTCCACGTCGTGCTCATGAGCCACGTCCAATAATGATTGGCCTTCATTGGCTGTTACTGTCTTTTTCTCGCCTTCTCCATCGATGAATGTAAACGTCACTTGGGAGAATGGTCGGATAATGAACGGAGTTAATAGGACATTGTGTTGTGTGGTTGAAAGATGGAAGAAGGAACGGGTAATGGCCGTCGAAGCGCCACGACGGGACGCAGTCGAAAGTCGGGAAGCGAACATGGACACAAGACGTTTTAATTTGGATACTTGTATAGAAATTCAAAAAAAAGGGATAGATAGGAAGGAGTGTGTGTGTGTACTTAATGGAAGAAAAAAATGAAACGGAAGTTTCGAATAAGTTGCTTTGTCTCTATAACAACCTAATCATAACAGTTAACGAACAGCTACGGTACCATAAGTGTTGATCTCCGGTACTTAATGCAGTAAAATTATCTAAAATGAACGACGATAATTGTTAATGCGAGACGACGTGTTAGTCCCTATCATCGTCCTTTTCCGAGTTGGCAAAATTGGTCAGTGCAGGAGCATGCAACAGCAGTGACGATGGTAGTTTCTGCGGATTGGACGCTGGATCAAAGTGGTCCGTATCGTACATGCTCAACCATTCTTTCAGTGCATTACGCAACGTTTCCATCTTTCCATATTGCGTTACAATTCCTCGTTCATGACACGCAAACTCAAGCTCATCCAGCGATAGATCTTCAACACCTTCTTTAAGCAACTGCTGGTCATCTGCACAAAGTTCCGCCATTCTTCGATTCAATTTCTTCTGTAGTTGTGACTGCATTAGAAGCTTGTTCAGTACCGCAAAACTCGGGAAAAGAGCCGAGCCTTCGGCCAGTACGTAAACATGTTGGTCCGAGAGGTTCTCTAGAGCTGCAGGTCCTTCAAAAAAAGGCTTTAACTCGACCACTTGAGCCGGGCGTAGACTGTTATTGCCCGTTGTGAGCATCTTCTGCAGCGTCTCGTCTTTGTGCTGAATCTGTAGCAACAGTTGTACCAATTGTGGGTACATTGTGGCTCTAGTCTTTGCATCTTCGTGCAAAAACTGCGTCTTCTGATTCGGTCGCCAGAACTGCCAGGGCAACAGCTGTTTGGGGAATTTGTAACCGAGTAACGGTGCTGCGTAACCTATAAGGGGTACACAAAAGAACGCGAGAAGAGGCAGTGACTTGAATAAATCTCGATGTGCTTGACGCAATAACAACATTTCACGACGTGTGAGATTCATCTGATTCTGAGAATCTTGGACACGACGACGAAGTGTCCATGCTTGTTTGTTCTCATGGTACAGACTTTTAGAACCAGTAACAAATGGCTGCAGCCATTTTTGTAGCTTCTGGTAGAACGATAGATATGTCGACATGGAGATGAAGTAACGCAAAGGATAGAGAAAGATTGGCAGATAAGGGAAAGATAAGTAAACATTTGGATATTATCTCTCACGTATCGAGATATTTTTAATCTTTCCGGTCTAAACCCCCTAAATACCGGTATTCACGATCTTTCCAAAAGGGAGAATAAAATCCACCATGCCAACGATGGACATTGAGATGAGCGAGCTGGAGCAGGTGCATCCATTACAGACACAATTTGAGGATGCAGAGGACGTCGTGTCAATGATGTCGTCTAACACGTCACCTGACGTTGCTATTCAGTCTTTCCAGACCATCATTTCCTACGGTTAAAATCGTTTTTCAATGAAAATATCCAATACCAATTATCTGACATTTTGTGTATTTATATATCTCCAGACAGAGAAGATGCGACACTGGAGCAAGTACAACGTGTAAAAGAACATTCCATCTACAAATTGGCTCAATTGTACATTCAATTTGGCCGTGAGAAGGAGCTCGCGACGCTGCTGCAGTCGCTCCGACCATTTTTCGCCACATTGGCCCGTGCGAAAACCGGTAAAATCGGTACGAACCACTCTTATGTAAAGCTGCTTTAGAGACTAAAACTGACCGTGCGGTATTGTGTGTAATTTGTGTGTAATTTATGTACAGTACGTACGGTGATTGATATGGTGGCCAAGGTAAAAGTGCTGGATGCAGAGAAGGCATTGCAATTACAAGCTGATTTATGTCTGGATTCCATCGAGTGGTGTAAACAAGAAAAACATGCATTCCTGCGTCAGCGTGTGGAAGCACGTCTGGCATCCATTTATTTCCAGCAAGACAAGTTCCAGCCGGCTTTGGACCTTATTACGGAGTTATTGCGGGAGATTAAGAAACTTGATGACAAGCAGCTGCTGGTGGAGATTCATCTCGTAGAGAGCAAGCTCCATCATGCTCTGCGTAATGTTCCCAAGGCCAAGGCAGCTCTGACAGCAGCACGAAGTATCTCTAACACGATCTACGTGGTGCCACGCACACAGGCGCAGATTGACCAGATGTCGGGTATTCTTCACGCTGAGGAAAGTGATTACAAGACGGCGTACTCGTACTTTTTCGAGGCATTTGAGGCCCTCGCGACGCTGGATGAGGTGGAAGGGCTGAAGTGTCTCAAGTACATGCTGCTCGCAAAGATTGCCAGTGGTGGCGCAAGCGAGGTGGCTCTCATCATTAACAGCAAACAGGCAATGAAGTATATTGGCATTGATCTGGAAGCAATGCAGGCTGTCGCTAAAGCGCACGAACAACGTTCTCTCGAACAGTTTGAAGCTGCCACGAAGAAATACGCACCTCGTACGCTGATTGATACGCGGAAAGTGTTTGGTAAAGTACTTGTGGTCTAATGTGTGACGTTGCTATTGTTGCAGAGCTTGTAGAGGACGGACTGATCAAAAAGCACCTGGGCAAGCTTTACGAGCAACTTCTTGAGAGCAATTTGATAAAGATCATCCAACCCTTTTCGTGCGTCGAGATAGCACACGTTGCTAAGCTGATTAAGCTGCCACTGTTGCAGATCGAGTTGAAGTAAGAACTGTTTGCGGGATGCGTTGTTACCAGTCGTATTGACCTATTTGTAATTGTTGTAGATTGTCGCAAATGATCCTGGATCACAAGTTCCACGGTATCTTGGACCAGGGCAAAGGACAGTTGATCGTCTACGACAGCCCTACTGAGGATGTACGTTGCAGCATTTTTGCTTTCGTATAGCATTCTTTGTACAAAGTGTGCTCACTCGAGATTCTCGTTGTTGTGCTGTCGAATCTATAGAAAACATATACCTCTGGCCTCGGTGTCATTGAAAATGTCGGGAGCATTGTAGACAACCTGTTCCGGCGCGCCGACAAGCTGCATGCATAAGCACAGAAGGAGCAATATACGTGCAGAAACATGGGCTCCATCAACACAACTACTGATAGCGACCAGATTCGATGCTGATGCTAGCGAAGCAGACTGCGAGGTGTGGGAGAAATATCGTCAACAATTTAACGAGCGCAAACCATGTTTCATAAACGAAATCGGTGGTATGGCCCACTTGGGGTTGAACTGCTTGTGGTCTCCGGCGTGCATTCATGATTATCATTAGGTCTGAAGATGAACTAACTCATTAGGTGAAGCCATGACTTTTGCGTTTTTCAGATCGTTCTCCGCGTAGCTCATACTCGCGGACGGCTTGCACTTCTCGTCGTCTTTCATTTTCTGTCGATGTCGGGTAACATCACGATGAAAGCCAAATCGTGCGGAACAACATACAGCCCAGCACGATGGAAGCTGCGTACAGCTTTAGATCGAGCGCAACCTCTCAAACATCGTCTCTGTTGACTGTTGTAGCTCCTAGCATCACAGACCACCCCAGAATTCGTTAATGCATAAACACAGCGATTCCAGACAGTCGGGCACTGATAGTGTCCGTGCGAGACCAGGACAAGATCGCCCTGATAACCAGCACTATCAAACGACACAAAACTCATAAGAGGCACCGTTCCAGTCAGTCGATGAAAAGCATCGTGCATTTTTTTACTTAGGAGTGGCGAACGTCGCACTCAGCGATATACGTCAACGCAACTGTCAACTCTCAGCATGCGTCGACCTCATCACATCATCACCGCTTCAAGCAGTGTGACAAAAACGCAGTTACTTCTTCCTGTTTTGCAACGTTTCGTCAGCTTCGACTTCGGGCGCCAATGCCTGATTCATAAGTTGGAGTTCCTCTGCCGTTTCCTGTAGTTATATAATGAATCGAAACATACGTCGTAAAATCAGCCATCGCGGTGGAGCGCACATTATGCGCAACCAATTTAACGCGACAAAGATAGAAGCGTACCTTATTCTTCTCCAGCATGTGAATGAGCACGCGCTGGTGATGCTTCTCCAGATCAACGAAGTACGTCTTCGTTATCGAAACCGCTGCAAAAACAAGAATTGGAAACATTCGATGGCCCCACAACAAATACTCGCGCGGTGTTGTAAACGGCGATATTTCCTTGATCACCGGGTCGTAGCGGGCGAACCGGACGGTAAGCTCGATACTCAAAAGCTACAGCACATACACAGTGTTGTAACAATAACAAACAACGTTACATGAAAAAATGATGAGGTGATCAAAACTCGCAAAAGTTCAAGTCACACATACAGCAATAAGTCCGACAAATGACACCTTACTCGCAGCTTGCGTTGCCTTGGGTGTGGTGACCGCATAGCTACTCGAAAACCCAAAGCAGTAGCAAAAGTCATGCCCACAAAGCAATCAGTTTGACAAGAGACTACAATGATCAACCAAACATGTCGTTCTCTACGTACATGATGGCAAACCAGAGCAGGTAAAAAAGTCCGACATTCCCTTGTGTTTCGTACATTGACATGTTCTCCTGACCAGGTCCCCAAAAATCATACAAATAGCGCGATTTCTCGCTGTAGATAATCTACTCAGAGCAAGAAAAATAATAATAATATTACAGTCAATTGAAATATACCCCAAGCAGAGGCCGTCATCAAATACGTACATCGTAAGCCGAGTCAATTTTATTCCAGGATTCTGCGGACATGGTGCCGCTCTGAAAGTGCTTTCGATAGAAGACATACTTCTGAGACCATTGATACGGTGTCTCTTGGCGACTCATCTAGCAATTATTGTCATAAAAATAATAATACAAATAAATTAATTATCTCTTACAATTAATTAATTATTTATACATAATTAGAATTATGGTAGTGACGTACCATCAACACTCTGTACACATTCGTCTCGTCAGGCAAATACCACTGTATAAAACCAGCCATGAGCAATAATTATTAAACTTGTACGACTATACAATCAACCAAACGAGACTCGCTTGTACCATGGGTAGACACACGGCGAGCATCGGCGCTACGAGTGACACAAGATAAACCTGTAGACGAGTTGTCTTTTTCCCTCGATACAATAGAAAATTTGATGCTAGTAAAGTCAATGGTGCTACGACCAGAAGTGAATAAGCAGCAGCATGAGAGTCGCGTATAGCGTCCGGGTACATACGGAAGACCTCCGACATACGTGAGTGTCATAAGTGGTGTGGTTGGTGTACGTAACCAATGGTTTTGTACACTACGTATATGAATGTATTCTACATAGTATCGTGTAGTGCACACCATACACAGAACGACGGACGATGGATGAGCAGCTACATTAGCGAAGATCGTCACGAAGAGAGAGCAAGAAACAGCATTATGGCTGAGCAACAGGGCAAGCAACGCACTGTAATGGATGTATTCTTCTACGTACCGAACGTCATTGGCTATATGCGTATATTGCTGTCAATCTACAGTCTCGCCGTGGCTTTTACGGACTACAGGACCAGTGTCTTGTGCTATGCACTGAGCTTTACATGCGACTACTTTGACGGTTTCTTTGCACGTCTCTGCGATCAATGTACGAGCATAATAAACTACAGCTAAACAGCATATGATTGTCTCTTTCTCAATTGACTAATTGACTGAGTGCAGGCTCTTCATTTGGTGCTGTGCTGGACATGGTCACGGACCGCTGTTCGACAGCGGGGCTTTTGATCGTGCTGTCCCATCTGTATCCACAGTATATGATGCTCTTTATGTATCTACTGATTCTAGACTTCTCCAGTCACTGGTATCATATGTACTCTTCACGTGGCCACCACAAGCTCGTCTCGGCTGAGCGCAACTTCTTGCTGCGTTTTTATTACGGCTGTTATCCGTTCTTTGGCTTCTGTTGCGTGGGTACAGAGCTGTTCTACATCCTTCTCTACGTACTTTATTTCGACCCAAAGCTGCTGATTCCGATCATCAATGTCCCTGTCATGCAGGTACAGCACTCTGTTCTTACTTGTGACGAAATGGCTGGAGATGCTAACTCCAATCGTGTGTGTGTGTGTCAACTTGTTACCTGCAGCTGTGCTACTATGTATGCCTTCCTGCCTGTGTGTGCAAGATCTTCACCAACTTGGCACAGCTGTTCAGTGCTGCACACTCTATTGCGTCAGAAGACGTGGCAGTTGCCAACAAGACTCAGTAGATGAAAGAGCCATCGAGTGGTCGAGTATTGAACAGCTCCAAGTCCTATGCGTTCCATGCATGGACGCAGCATTCAGCTTGAGGGAAACATGAGCCAGAGATGAACAAAGCTATGGTATTGTCAAGTATCTACAGTGTCCTTCTGTCCAATGTCCTCATTTATCTTCAGATTCTCGCAGGTACAAGATATCATAATGTCCCGGTCGATACAAAAGCGTGATCATCTCCGATTCCCGTTGCTTCATCACATCATGTGATGGTGAGCACACGTAGCTTTGAAGTTTCTCTCCAGGTCCTGCACTTCCATCCAGATACTCAATCTTCACACCAACCTGAAGAGCTTCCGTCAAGGCTGTAATCTGTGGCTGATCACACTCTTTCCCCATCGGCTCCACCTTCAAGTACAGAACAAGATAACGAACCACAACACCATCAGTTCTCTCTATCTGTCTCTCTCTCTCTTTCTCCTCTCACTCACCTCTGAAGCACAAAATTGTGCCACTGTCTGCCCTGGATACAATCCGTCAATAAACGGTTGGAACATCTCGCTCTTCTTCTTCATATACCCCGCTGTCAAGAGTCTCATGTACCACACAAGATACTCGGCTTCACCTCCTTCTGTTTGAAAATCCCGTACTAATTCCGCATACGAACGTGTCTCCATGGCAGCCAAATAGTCGACAAATGTTTCCCAGAACGTATCGATGGCAACGTCACTGTATCCAATAGCAATCAACTCACTCTTACTATGTTGAATTTTGTATTGAATATGACGACGTAGTGTCACGTGATTGTCCTCCAAACCTCCTGAGAAAGACGGTAAAAGACGTTCACATAATGCAAAGATAAAACCCCGAAAGAAACAATTCCCGTCTCCTCGTACACGTCGTAGTGCCTCATACTGCGTGTTTAAAGACTCGATACCATACATAAAGTTAGTATTCGTATTGCCTACGTACTCGGCTTTAAGACAGAGCACCGACATCCTGTCACTTAATAAAGGACCGATAGACTCCTCCTTGTCCGTCATCATGAATGGTATTTTAGAATGTAAGTCGAATGAGACTTGCAAAGATCCCATGGGTTTAATTGTTGTGAATAAGATTGTATTGGACTTTTTGGAATACTATCATGGGTTTTATTGCTTGTCGTTGATTTAGTCTATATCAAAGACCCACCACTTCAACATACATGTATTGTTTCGTATATGCTGAGCCAGTCCACATCATGTGGAGAGTGCGAATCTTGCTCGAGAATCACTTGATCAGTGAGAATTGAATGGAATTCCTCATTTTCAATGTAACAAGTGGAAATGGAATGATATTGTTGATCTTGCATTTGTGCTCGTTCTTGCCATTCTTGAAAGCTAAAGCCGTTCCAGAGCAGTGGATCGTTCAAAAGTTCTGGTCGTGCATACTCGACAAAGTCGTGGATACTAGAGAGCGGCCAATTGAGTGCTAGGAGCAATCGATTCATACGAGTGATTGTGCTTTGGATCTGCTCGATAGTTGTGGATGTTGCAGTCAAAAGAATTTCTCGTTTGAATTCCAAAACGTAGCTGTCCAACAAACTGTGGACGTTCATGAGACACAAGCCCATGAGTTCACAGTCAATAGTAGCTTTTAACTCGCTAGGGTCGTACGTGCTTGTGACTGCCGAAGACTGGGATATTCGTTCTAGCACAGTTTCGTATTGCAAATGACACGTTGCTGTGTTTTCAGCCTCAGATGACAAGGTCCCGTCAAGTAAAGTGTCAATACTGCTGCTTCGAGAGCGCAAGTCATTCAAATTGTTGAAGGTAAACCACTGATTCGCGCAACTTGCAATCCGGTACGCCAAGGATTGCAAAGTCTTTTGCTGTCCGAGTGAAGGACTAAACCCAGACACGTTATCCCGTGGAAAAAGCAGTGCTGGTCCAAGGAAATGGTTGAAAAAAACAAGATGCACCGCACTCAATTCCATCTCACGACTTTGACCAGCTTCGTCTCGCTGAAACAACTTGACACATCCGCGACACAGGATAACAATTTCGGCAGGAAGTGCTTCAATTTGCAGGAAAAGTCGGTCGAGTAGCTTTTCAAATTCCGAGACGGTGTCACTCAAGTACAATGAAGTTGTATCGTCGCCTGGGACAAGCAGAGCTGAAAGCCACTTGGCTCCCACGATGCGGCAGAAACAGGCGAGAGCTTTACTAGCGGTGCTGTGCTGCTGCAAAAATCTTCGATGCAGGAGAAGGGATGCCTCTCGCGTTCCTTTCGAGTATTCGGTCGCAATGAGATGGAAAACAAATCGAGTTCCCTGGCGTTCGGTTTCCAATAAGGGCAACAAACTTCGCAAGATGAAAGCCTGCGTCAGTAGCTCTGCCGGTTTTGGGCTGCCTTTGGAAGTAACACAACACTTCAACACGCACGCGCTCACTGCCATATTCGGCTCCAAAAGTAAGTTCGCCAGATCGATAAGCAGCATCGAGTATTCATGGTTGTTTTGCGAGACTTGAGCTTGGAAGAGTCGCTGCTGTTCCACAAACTTCTGTCGTCGCTTTTTACGTATTTTGCTGCAACAACAACAGCAAAATCCGGTAGACACGCAGGAGCCATTGGACAACACGAGCCAGCCCGCCATCAGAACGAGCAACGTCGTGACATATCGCTTTAGCTCTGAATTCAGCACCGTAAATAACTTGTTTCCAGCGATGGAGTCACTTTGATCATCGACCAGGAAATGAATCGTGAATGTGGTTTCGGTTTGACGTGTAGCAGCATCACTTTCATGGACAGAATCGACACGCTTCACCCAAAGTGTAAATTTTGCTGTGTGGGAGATGGAGATGCCGGACCTGTCGCGAAATGTAAGTGCTGAGAGGGCTGTACTGAGTGCAGTCTTTGTTCCTGTCACCTGGACATGTGAAGGATCATAGAGCTGCGTAGCGATGTGAAAATGCACCTCATAGTTTCGACTTGAACGTACGTCTAAGAGAGATCCGTTTACACTTCGATTGAGCGTGCACGGACGCTCAAATGGACACCCGACCATTACATCGTCGTCAGTAATGGTGAATCCCAGCTCAAACTCAGATACACCGTCTCCTGCCTCGAGGTTCACTTGGTACAGACTGTCAGGTGTTGTGCTGTCAGGGTCCTCAAACGTTACCGATGTTGGGATGAGATCGCCACCCGACGCATTTGACGTGAATACGTTTGGAGGTAGAACAAGTAGAGCATCCGGCACGTTTACAACTCCCAACTCGATTCTCCGTGTCTTCAACCCGTTGGCAAAGTATGCAGCGGCCGATTTGTCATACACTACAAATGAGACGTTGGTTGGTGTTGCAGTATTGAGGACCTGGTACTCAAAGTAGTCAAAGCTAATTGGTCTCGTGAACAAAGGCTTCGACTCCAGATTGAAATAATCGAGTTGAGGTGCGTAGATTACTCTGCCTCCAAAGTCTGAAACGATAGTGTCGGAAGTCGAGATGCGTACTCCAACAGACTCCAGAGATATGTTATCTGCATTGGTACTGCTACTGTCATGGTTGTTGTACTGAAAAAGAACCCCGTGCTGTGGTAGTGCTGTCACCTTGAGCCGTGTCTTGACGTTGAAGAACGCTGCCAGAGGATCCAATGTAGCGAGATGCAATAGTTGAAGAGAGTCTTCCTCCAGTTGAACGGTTGCAAGTACGTTGTGATTCACTGAGTCGTTCACGTCATTCGCGAGGATAAACTTGATCACAGCAATCGACGAGAAAACACCAGGATCCCCGTCCGATAATGTATACCAGAGCTCATCAACTACAGAAGACGCACTCTCACGACTATTTTGGCCCCATCCGTGATAAACGTACATCAAGTTGGTGGAATAAGTCGAGTTCACGATGTCTACACTGTTTTGATAGACTCGAGTGGATTCCAACGATTGCAGATTCTGGTTTCGTACAAGTGCCAATGTGTCACAACTTGAATTGCAATCAAACAGCTTGCCAAACTGCGGTATGCGCTCGATCTTCAGCAACTGCACACTTGAACTTGCGTTTGTTGCGTTGCTGAAATTGAAGCTCGACAAGACGTTGCTCGAATTGGTGGTTTCAGCGCTTGGTATTGGAACTGAAGGAGTTCCATCATTATCGTCACCACTCAGGTCCAGAGTAACGGGAACACCAACATCGACCCGAACTTCAGACACAAACTTTCGGGGACGCGGTGCATCGTTCACGGCATCCACGAATATGTCAATCTTCGCTTCCATGCTCTTGTTTACACTCCGCCCTACCAAACTATCGGCGACACCGTACTTGATCGACGCATATGGCCTTAACCTCCGCGAAAATGTCACGGGGTTTGGCAGAGGCAGGTTGTCGTTGTTTTGGTCTGCTTCTGGGCGAAAAAATATTCTACGCTGATATTCCAGCGGTAGCTCTCGAAACGCGTCCTTGTTGTTCAGAGTTACCACGGTTTTGTTGGGGAATAGCAGAAGCTGTCCAAACTCTGGTATACCTCGTAATTCGAGGCGCAAGTCATCGTAAACTCCATGCAGCATCGTCAAATTCAATACCACGAGCGAGTCTTCAGGTATTCGCACGGTTTGCTGTAGAGACGGGAACTGGCGAGATGGCATTAGCTGCTGTCTTGAGATAGCGTTCACTTGGTCTTCAGACACTACACGACGGTAGATGGCAAAATGAAAAAGGTCGAAACTCGCGCTTCTTGCACCTTGAAACAGCGTGGCTCTGGAGAATCCATTACTGCTGCTTCTGCTTTGATCACTTGAGTCCTGCGGCTGCTGCACAACAATCGGATCTCTCGCTTTTTGCTGCACCAAGTTAACTAGGTAGTCAACAATTTGGTCACCGTACTGCTCCTTAAAATCTGCAAACTTGCTGCGGAGATAAGCTAGTGGCGTGTCCTCACTCAGCGGCGGGAATGTGACTCCCAAAAGGTGTAGCGAGAGCGAGTTGTCACCTAAGATCCGCATGGCTTTTGGCAAACGCGGACCACTAATGCTCATCAATTTCTGCTTTAGCACTACACGTAGATGCTCAGTAGCATTCAGACTGCTTGTATTGCTCAGGTGTAGAAGATCTCGAGCAGAGGCCAAACGCTTGCGTTGTCGTGGTGAAGTAACGTTGCGAGGGCTATTGCCCAAGTACAATTGGTATCGGCCTTCTATCAGTTTGTTGAGAAGGTGGGCGTTAGGTGGGGACTGTTCATCATGCACCTTACAGTCAATGCGTTGCTCTGTCTCGACATCCGTGTAGCTCATGTAGAAATCGGTTTTCCAGCGACCTCTTTTTTCGCTTGACGGATCCAATGTGACGGTGATTTGTACGGGTGGCATTCGTTCCATCGGTTCTAGAAGAGGTGGAAGTTGGCATGCTGCGGAGTTATCCACTGAAAAGATCCGCTGCTCGTAGCAGGCCTCCACTCCCGCTTCACCACCCTCGTCTAGCACGGGTAGAAAGTAGATAAATACTAGCACTTGGTGCTCATTCAAGTCGAGGCGAAAGCCAGGGTCTACGCAGTTGTCGAATTCGTTGGCAATGGAGAACAACGTCATACTGTGGTTCGTTATCGCGCGGCGTCGGATCACCATCTCGAACGTCACACCAGAGCTGGCCTCACTGTCATTTCGTACAGCTGCCATCGTGAAAAAGTCACGCGCCGAAACTGTGCTGATCGACGAAAGCTGCACGCGTTTAGTGTCGTTGTTGGGGTCTTCTGTCAAACGGACTCCAAGCTGCCAGAACGTCGAGTCTGTGTTCAAGCTCGTCACTAGACCTCTTTCAGGCTTAAGAGCATCGAAAGGACAAGCATCGTTGGGGACTCTGTTCACCACGGTGGTACCGTCGTCGATAGCAGGATCGTCGAAAGTGTAGAGACACATTGGGTGCCAAGTGGATCGATCGTTGAGGAAGCTAGTGATGTCAGAGTCTCGATTGTGCCTCTGCGACTCATTACTACAGCTAACGATACCAAGCAGCAAAAGCAGCAGCAGTCCTCGCATTGCCAACGTGTTGGTCTAAGTTTTCTAAGCTGCCTATTTCTTATTGCAACTTGTTTCAAGTGCTTTGCAACGTCACCCTTGTTCTCACTTCTACTCTACCAATGTCGACTATAGAGTTGCCATTGCGTAAGACCCACCGAGCATATCGATCTTCGAGCTGCAGTGTGTAATTGACCGGGCCGAATGCGCACAAGCAGCCTACAAGAGGATACGCTTCCTATATGTGGCAAGCTCGCGTGTCATGGTCGCATGTTTGTGTTGATGCTGACACAGCGAGATGACTCCTTCGCCAAGATGTTTTCAAGTTGAATGCACTTTCGACTGCGATACGGTCTACCATACTACATTTCGCTTGCTCGACAGGTTTGTGCCCCATCTGAGCAAGAAGGCTGCGGTTTCCCAACGACCGAGTTTCAACGACCCCAATGCTTTTAACGACAAACAAGGATCGGAATGTCGCTGAAAGGAGTATCTTGTCGGTGTTGAACGGGCAAGATACTCCTTTTCAACGACAGTTCGATCATTTTTAGACCTTACGAAACAATGGATTCCATGCTTGTTCGCTAAGCACGTACTATACCGATGATAAATTTCGGGTAGGGCGGCTTTGCTTTACCGCTCAGACTCACTAGGCCTCCTTGATTTTTGGCCACATCTAGCCATAGTATTGTGCGCCGTTCCGCCCGAGCACCGTCATGTAGCGTTACTTTGCGCTGCTGATTTCTGTCAACGGTTAATGCCCTTCCCTTTTGCTGCACTCTCTCCTCTGGAGAGAAATCACCAGACCGAAGTTCTTCATTTTTCGTTTTGTCAACCGAGGCGAGATGGCTCCGACGCTTCTACCAACACGTGGCTCCTACAAAGATGAGAAGAATCCATCCATTCTTATCACGAGCCAAGACGATTTCGATCTCCATGACGACTGGAATGAACGTGGCAAGGGCCCCATTTCCCGTTTGCGAAACTCGTGTCCAGACAAGTGGTCGACATCTCCTACTTTTCGCTGGAGTTCACGTCGTCTCACAGCGTTGTCATCTAGTGTTATTGGTGCTACCACAGCTTTGACCACGCGTGCCAAACAACTCGGTGTAGGTAAATCCACTCACCGGGCTATATACCAACTTCGCAAGTCCATCGGAGAAGTAACGTCTCGGACAGAAGGGCCCTTGATGGAGGGGTCTACTCCAGTTCACGACCAATCTAATGGGATCGATGGAATGGACGATAACCCCGAAAATGAAGGCATTTGCTACGATGAAGACATAGATGATAGTTTAAGAGACTTCATTCCGTGGATCCGAGCTTGTACATAAAGAATAGAGGCTAGTCTTATCGAGCAAACGTGTCATATAGAATATACGAAATGCTGATGTTCCCTCATGTCAATCCACTTGATAAAAAGTTCGCAGTCTCTTGACGACACTACAAAAGCAAACACGACGAGGTAGCCCACTTTCATACGATAAGCGAGAAAGAACACGACGACAAGGAAATCATCGATAATGTCACTCCCATGGCGCTGCATTTTATGCTCGTTCCGGGGTATTGCCAGAAACAGATCAGGAACGCAGACAGCAGACGCAACTCCTCACGAGACGACTGAAGCTGATGGAGACAAAAGCGTCGAGTTAGTGACACCGAGGCCTCGTGTCAGCTTTGAGACGACGTTTTCCAGCGAAAAGAACGAGAAGGATCAACAAGATTTCTCGCTGAATCCTCGCATGCAAGAGTTCGAGGCCCGGTATCATTTGCAGCAGGAAGATACCGACGTTGAGAATGATGTGATACGTACACCAGCTGCAATATCGATCATCCCGAAGAAGTCCAAGTTAACTGAATGGTTGGAAAAGTTCGAAGCGCAGCACCGGGTGGAAAAAAGAATACAAGAGTTCCCGAACATGAGGAGCCGCATGTGTCACCTTTGGCTGCATGGATGGCACGTTTTGAGGTCAAGGACCAGGACAATTCCTCGACAGCGTCATAGTTTATTGTACGAGTATTATTCAGTGATGTGTCAATATGGCATAGCCAACTACTATCACATCTTGCAAGTAAGAAGCGTCTTTGAATCGCGTTAGTACATGAACCTACATTACGTTTGTAAATGTTGCCACCGTCGATCTTGAAGTGATGGCCGCTTGTCCTGCAAGATCCATCGAGTCAACCACGTGGCGACTGAACAGAAAATGCCAGAGCCTGCGGGTGAGCTGGGCCCTGTATCTATAGCTCCACCCAGCAGAAGAGCGAAAAGGGTGGAACTTCGAAACGAGCTCCAAAACGAGCACCTTGTCGAATGCAGCAAACCACTTGACCTTTTGAGTTGGTCGCGCATGGACTGTCCGATCGTCTAGCTGGCACAGGAGTAATATACTAACCACCAAGAGCAATAGCTGATACACATTGTTGAAAAGCGAAAGTCACTTGTTTTGGTCATTCTTAATCACCTTTTTTTCAATGAACTTACATGTACATACAGATATAACGCTTAGATCAGCTGTATTTCTTGCGTAAGCGAAGGCGTCGTGTCACCCGAGCAGAAAATAAATAAATGTATGGTATATCATATGCTGGAAAGGGTAGGTTACGTACATTGCTGTGTGCGTACATTTAATAGCAGAAAATTTGCAACCTGATTAAGTGAGCGTGCATAGATTTTTGCACAGCTTTATACACACGTTTTGTCGTTTTACTTCCCGAAGCAGAAATTTTGCAAATGGCTACAGCTTGGTATGATTAATCATTGGCTCATAATTTAGTCGCATTAAAACGGCATAACTTTGACGTTAATTCATGGCCGATGAAGTGCTTAGATGCGCGCGTTTCGGAGACGTAGAAGAGCTCAAGATGATGCTGCAGTCAGTAGAAAAAGGATTAGAGCGTGATATGTTGATCAATTTTGTGCAGCCAGAGACGCTCAATACGCCACTGCATATGGGTGCGTGTAATTATGTCAAAAAGTGTATATATTGGGTTTTTTAATGTGGGTCTTTTAATTAACGTGCTGGGTTTTTTACTTGACGTGTCTTTTATTTGCTCCAGCTTGTGCCAATGGCCACGTTGAGTGTGTTCGTGAGCTATTACAATACGAGGCGTTACAACATTTGCCAAATGCCAATGGGAATCTGCCACTACGTACGGGAAGAGAAAGAGAGAGAGAATGTGGGTGGATGGATCAAAAGTGGGTAAATATTGATCTGGAGTTGTGGATTATTTTATTGCAGATTGGGCTGTACAGAACAAGCATCGAGAGATTGTCAAGCTATTGGTGGACGGTATTAAAGACCTGGATGTACTGGCTCGCAACAGCTTTGGACGTGGCTGCGTTACGGAAGCTTTTCAGTGTGAAGACACGGAGATTTGTACGTGCTGCTGATTGTATTGTTGAGTCTGGGAAGGATTAACGATTTATTTGGTGTCTTTTGATGGCAGTGGCGATGTTATTGGAGCACAGTTCGGCAACGGAAGAGAGGCTCGCAGAAGGCACTGGGATAGATCAGGATGCTATCAAGGAGGAAATTGAAAAGGAAGGAGATGAAGCAGACAATAGCTCGCCAAAGGTCTTGCAAGAGACTGTGCTGGAATTCAAGTTTGCACCGGGACTGCCAACGTTGCGTGCACGGGAGCTCGCATTTGAATGGAGCAGAGATGCCTTTGGCTCGACTGCGGAGGAGGATATTACGGGAGTCTCGATCTGGTCGGCGGCGCTTATCTTGAGTCGCTGGGTCATTGACCACCGCGATGTATTTGACGGGAAACAGGTCTGTGAACTGGGCTCGGGTTGCGGCGTTAGTGGCTTTGCAGTACACAAGTATACGGACGCTTCGCGGGTTGTGCTGTCCGATCTGTTTGCACACACCATTCAGAATCTGGAGCACAATGTCGAGCTGAACAAGATGGACACAAATGCTAGAGCTGATGATAAAGAGAATCCGATAGCACCAGTCCTTGATTGTTGTGGGCGATGTGGTGCCGTCCAGCGCTTTACTCCCGACAATCCAGAGGGCAAGCTCATGACTTGCGGCGGTTGCAGATCTGTTGTTTACTGCTCTCGTGAGTGCCAGAAGAAGGCCTGGAAGAAGCACAAGCCCGATTGCAAGGCTATCCGCGCGCAGCGTGAGCAGGTAGAGACTCTGAAGGAAAGGAAAGCTAGTGAAGAGGGAGTTCTGCAGGTACAGGCTATTGATTGGGCTCAGCGCGAGACCTGGCCGATTAGCTGTGATGACGATAAGTTTGATGTGCTCTTCGGCTCCGATCTTGTATACCATCAGGAAATTGTGCCGGCACTTGTGAACGTAGTGGACGGCATGCTGGGTGCTGGTGGTCGGTTTGTACACGTTGCTTCCCAGGCACGGCACTCGCTGGTAGAGTTTAAAGAAGCGATGGAGGCGCGTGGCTTCAGCTGCGACGTGGAAGAAGTTCCTGAGGATTACAAGGAGAACCCGCTGGTAGGCAACGATGCCGTGGCTGAACTCTTCGCTCTGCATTTCAACGAAATGAGCGACGTGTATTGCATTTACACTTTTACTCGCCCAGCCGTAGAGTAATTGAATGGATCCGCGATGTTGTCTTTGTTCAAAAACGTTTTTAATGGTTTATACCATACCGCCCGGAGAAGATCCTGTCGCATCATTTGTTTTTTCCTCGTGGACGGCAGTCTTTTTTTCTGACTGAGGGTCCGCGGATTTGGTGGAAAGCGCGTGCTTGGCATGAGTGACAGAATTTTGTAGTTGCATCGGCCAAAGACAAGTTCCCAGTTGCCGTGAATACTGCCGGTTGAGTACGGACTGACCACTTTTCCACCATGGAGACGTCGATTGCGCGGAGAGCGATTGATCTGCAACTCCACTGACGTCTAGCACCGGAATAACCAACAGAGAACACGTCAACATCCGCCAACGATTTTTTGCCAACCCCTGGCTATTGTACCTGTGCAGTGGCAATGAGGAAGGCATGCCAAGTTGCAAGAATTATTACGGCTAAGCCCGCAGCCGCAGACATGGCAAAAGCAAACTGGAGGGTGTCTAATGCAGACATACGAAGCGAGCTCACTGTGGCGAGCACGAGCATCTACAAGTAAACCGTCGCGTAAAACTCTACGTACATTGAAACACGACCACAAAAAACGCCAACTTACTCTAGCATATTGTTCACGACCCAGTTCAGTGTAAGCCGCCTTGTAGCTCATGCATGCAGCATAACAACAGCCTACCGCTAGCCACAATAGAAAAGAAAAAAAGTACTGGACACAATCGTTCCCAGTACGACCCCATCATTAGAAAAATTATCGCAGATATGACCACAAATCCTTTCGTACCCGATAGTTGTCACGCCCAATGCAGTTGTTCACCCATGGGCAGTGATGATCCAAGTGAGCAATGCACCGATTACACACGGAACAATGATGAGCCCGAGGCGGTCGAAAATGACGGCACCTTCGGCAGTACGAAACACCATCGTCGACGCTCGGGTGATAACCACGTCGAGGTTTAGCCATATGCAAACTCTGCGAATCCACTAGCTGAAGTGTTGGTAATTGTACTCGACCGTCGTCTTCCAGAGTCTTTGCACTAGGTCGAACTCTAAACAGAAGTTTCTTGTCGACATTGTCCAGCTGATTACCATCGACTCCTCGCTCCAGATCCTCTTCTTCCTCTTCATCGTCTTCCACCTTGTCATTGGTCTTCTCTACTTGTACGTCCCAAATATCTGTCTCCATCATCCACTTGGCTGAAATAACTCCCTGGATAAAATAACAACACACACATGAAGTAAAAGCATATTTATCCTAGTACAAACGTTTTTACTTACCGGGTCTGTAGCACAACAGAGTGCATAATTAAAGTAGATATTAAATAGCAGTACGAGTGCGATGATTAAATGGCACAATAACTGGAGATAGAAGCGTTAAAACAGTCTTTTTTAGCGTTTCAGCACGTTTTAATCCTACCTGAAAAATCGTTTCAGCCATTATCGGAATAATCGCGTGCATTACGAGTCCTCCTATGAGGAATAAAAGCGCTGTAATTATAGATAGACAGGGGTTAGCAGGAATTAGCGGCGTATGCTGAATGAAAAATAGACACGCACCCATGCCAATGGCGACACAAACGACACCTGCATAACGCATAATCCAGCTTATGGCTCGTACGAACGATGCTGCACATAGGAAGCTCCACTGCATGGGATCACGCCACTGCGGTGGCACCAAATGAAGCATCTGTACCAAATTAAATGAGAAATTGACAGAAAACGGGTCGTTTGATTGGGGCGTTTTTTTCATACTGGTTTTTTTGCACAGCAACTACAGTACTGTAATTTAGACTCGAGGGCACGTATTGACACTTTAGTCCTTCCTTTAGCAATGCCAAAAAATTAATTATTCTGCTTGAGTGACTAAAGTAACAATTGCATTACAATTGCATGCAATATGACGGCCTGTCAAGTGCAGAGTTAGCTGATAGAAAGTCAAGAAATATACAGTATATATAAAAGATGGTAGATGACATCACTGCTATGGTAAGTGTTCGTAGTTGCACTCGTGCAAAGGTAGTAGAAAGTAGATAAGTGAAACATATGGAGTGTTAGCTTCTTTCGTTTACTCCATACACCATGTGCTCTCCTGCAGTGCAACTTGACCAGGCCAAGTTGCAGATGGCGTGCGTCCAGTCTGCACGTCTCATATGCTGGTCCCATATGTCGACCGTCTCTCCCGGTACCATCCCCATGGCATCTTGGTTGTCCCATGTGGCGTCCGTCTCTCTTCGTCCCAACTGTCACGTTGTCATAAGTACAAACAATCAAGTTACGTTGAATCTTACCTGTAACATGTCTTGAAGTTGACGCTTGAACGCTTGACAGCCTGTGAGAAGTGATAGCTTCAATTAGTAAGCATATAATCAGTGTTGTAGTACGATCGATAACTTAACGGGTCTAAAGAGTAGATATTTCTTTACTCTTCAATCTACGCAGCATAAGCGGCGAGTACAAACGAGGCAGACATCCATTGCAGGCTTTGTTCGGCAACAGTCCGCGCGTTTCATCCCATGGCCGACCCTCCTTCTGCCAACAGGACAAAAGAAAATGGTAACGATCCAGGACGTCCAGTGCCACTCGAGACTCATATATCTCCTGGGTCTCCGCAGCAGGACAGAGATAACGACTGGAAGGCATCGGACCCGCACCAAACCGATGCTAAATTAGACATGGACAGGGATCGAACTCTTCCCACTCTTCCAAAGACTTATCTGCCAGAACTGGCTTGACAACATGCGCAGCCCAGACGGGCACGACTGCGGGTACTCAACCGGGAGCGGAAAGTTTCTTACAGGGGCGACCGACCGGATCAGGGGGTCCACTCTTTCTCGAAGTGGACCCCCGGATCCGGTCGGAAGGAGTACTTCGGAACGTCCCAAGGCCCCTATTATTGATGAGTAAATTGGTCTTTATGCAGTCTAAGTAGATGAGATGGAGGCCAACCCCGACGAGGATCCGCTCGAATTCTGACTATGCTTCATCCAAGTGATGTACTCAAGGGCATCGAACCAATTCGCGGTCAACAAGGTCAAATTAATCGTCGCGCGGCAACGTTATCCTCGCTTGACCATGGAAGAGCGCGTAGGGCTACTCACTTAATTTGAACAAGCCTGCATCCTAGGGGAACAAGGGGAGGAGGCATAAAATCGAACGTTCCAACCAGTGACCAAAGGTCTTGTACTTAAGTAAATGGGCATTTCTGAAGATAGTTTGCAAACACGTCAGTCGGCTAAAATGAAGGCAAGCTCCGGTTTTAATTTAGTAGTCGGCCAAAGTAAAACAGGGCATAAATGCAGCTACCGGGTGCTCTTCTGCGCCATCGCGTCGAACATACTTGCCGTATAGGTTCAATCTGGCCAAGTACCAGCCGGACGAGATAGCGAAGCTAACAAGAGTATGTAAATTTTTCTTACAAAGGAGCTTTTGGTCATAATTAACGGGATGGAACCGGATCGGAGTGGAGAATTATCGAGGGTCTGGCAATCGCGTGCGGCTAACTCCCGGCTTTCGTACAGAGTATACTATACTATACTGGACAGAACCGGACGCATTCGGTTGTTCAACACAAATGAAGCACAGGTGGAGGGAGAGCTGATTATGACGTTACAACGCCATCATCATATACGAGTATGTAGGCAAAGTATTTACAGCATCATCACTTCGATACTTGAATCGGCTAAGTTGGTACGGGTCAAGTTGCCAGCGCTTCATGCTCTGATAAAGCAGACTAAGACAGTTATATACGACAAAGCGACAAAGTCGATTCATTTCTTTTTCTTCACTAGAGAAACGGCACGAAAGCATCAGAGCGTGGCGGCGATATCGTTTCGGAGCAAAAGCTATTCACTAGTTAACCCACATGGGCCACAGTCTAGGATCTATGGATGGTCATGAAATGCGGCGGCAGACAGAGTATGCGGTATGTATCCGGAACTGACCCGATTACACGACATCAGAAAGCTTATGACTTTCCATTAAAGCAAAATCCAACCCCCTTTTGAAGTGGAAGATATGGATACGTGTACGCCGGCTTCCAGAACGTCGATGATGCGGTATCCAGCTAGCGGATTGCCCGAATTTTATACAAGGGGTGGTAAAAGTCATATGGCTCGGCGTCGCCTCTCACCTAAACGTTGGTCGACGATTTCAATGTCTTCGGTGTGGTAACATTGGTCACCCACTTTCGCGTTGCAGTTTCCATGACGCTAAACTTCGGGGGCCTGGCGCCATCGTAGCTGCAGAGCAGGACATAGCCGATCTAGGCGACACCGCAAGTTCCTTTGCGAGTCTAAAGGAACTTAGGGACACGGTTCGCCCCCGTATTGCCGACCATCGCCTGGACCAAGAGACCCAAAGGATGCTGGGAACTCAGCCGACTGCTCATCCAACATACTCCGGGCTGTATGAAACCAATCGAGATCCGCAGCGAAGCCCAAAAACGGTGGATCGAGAAGAGGAAACTTTACCACCAAGCAAAGAGCTTCAACCAGAACCCAAGGAAACACAGACATGGACTACCCACAGAGCTTAAAAGGGACGAACTCTTAAAAGATGTGCAGAGAAACGAAAGACAAACAGTGGAAAGGGCACTAATCATGAGATCTTCAGCGTGGAAACCGGCGACTACCTACAACTGACTTCTTGGACGGACCAAACACCCGCCGTGTCGAGTAGTAAGGGCATTCCTGATGGAGTATTTGGGGACAAGGTCACTCCGGCGCAGCCTCTCCTCTCTCCAGCTGAAGAGCAAATTTGCTCGTTTGCCAAATACAAAGAGCAGCGCATCAAAGACATTGGATGTACCACTTCCATTCTCCATGCATGCTTCACGGAACACAAATTGACCTGGCGTGAATCACCACAGTCTGCCGCCACTGTTTCGCGCAGTCAGAAATCGTCATTCCAGAGTACTTGGTACGTGGAACATATAGCTTTCCAGCTTTCAGTTGTCTCGGTCGCTACATGCCACCGTGGTGTTAATACATTTTTTTTTGTTTCTACACACCTACTGCATCTGGATCTTCACTCGGCGACTTAGTAGCATATGAAAGGTATGGCGCGGGGCAGCCTCCACAAGTAAAAAATCATCTCTTGCTAAGTGTCAGACAGATTTTCGGGCAAATTTTCGAAATTGGTGCAAGCCAGTTGCGGAGGCCCCCCAAAGGTGGTGTCAGCCTGGTCTCATGTTAACGACAGTGTCTCAGACTTTCGCAGCAACAATTATAAGCTTGGAAATGTGGTAGGTAGTGACGCCGGCTTCCGGTAATTGCCTGGTCATGGCAGTAGTGCAAGGAGAAACAGGGGTAGACCTCGCCGAACCAACATCGAATTTTGAACGGTCAACGGCAACCCTTATGATAGGGATTAAGGAGTTTGGGCTCTTAAACTTAGAAGACCGATTGACATATGGATGCAAATTTTACAAAATGTTAACCGTGCTTGACCAACCATGACGCGGCGAGAATCACCTAGTCAACTCAAATATTTCTTGAGAACTACGCATCCAGTCCTTCGCAACGAGACACGATCATCGCAGACAATACGTGGGGGGAATGACACCTTAAGACTTGCTGCAATGTTCGTACGTCGAACATGTACGTGCTCGAGTTTGCGGACACGCGCGCCAAGCCCTGGAGTTGCAGGCAGTTTGGGTCAGGGGTAATATCCATCAAAGCGGAAAGTATCGCATCGTTCACCGAGAGACCGCTGGACATTTATACTGCCTTGATGACATCATAGCGGGCATCATCGACTCTTCAGCTACTTCCATCGTCTTTCGGTATTGGTATCGGCATCACTCGGCTTCCGTTCCCCGATCATAACTATTAAAGGAATTAGCAGTACCTCGCGACGCTATCAAGTATGGGTAAACGTTTCAGCAGGTTGCAGAAGACCCAATGCACCCCTTTCTTAAGACTGGGTCCCCCCTCGTTCTGTTTCGTGAGGACCCAAAGCAGCTAGTGTTAATATAGAGTTATACGGTCAACGCTCTGGCTATCACTGATATCAACAATTACGACACATACCTTACGCAGGAAGCCTACGATACGCTGCCTCCCCAAATTTGCGCCGCTGAGAGGCAGTTGCGAAAGTGCTCCCATTTATCTGCTCCGGACGAGCGTGTTCATGACGGGATGATCATGTAAATTGTCTACATAAGAGTTCTGCTGAGAAAAAGAAAATCCGGAAGAGTACGCTCTTGTTCAATATCTCAATTCGGGGTATTGGCGATCCACGCGTCATTGGGACGCCGAATGGGATCGAGGCAGCGTCCGGTGGCCAATGACGGCTAGCGTCTAGTGTCTTTTGGTGGAAAGGGGAAGCGCTATCTGGGTGGCGGCGGCTGCGGTGGGACCGCAGGTATTACTACATTAGGTCCAACCTTCTTGATTGCTTGGGGAACTCATCAACTATCTTGCCGACTCAGTCATCGTTCTGTGGAAGAGCACTGGCGGCGGGAATGTCTCCAACACTGTCTAGCGCGTTACCGGACTAGTTTCCGTCACAAACGACAGGGGCTTGACTGGATCAGTGCTTGCATTAAATCATGATGCTGCAAGAGCGAAAAAGTGTAATCCATTTTCAATGACTACAGTGAAAGCAGATGCCTCAGAACTTCACGTACACGTGACAGAGAAAGTCTTATCAGCAAGGATTGAGAAGAAAAAGAGAACTGTATCTAATATCGTAAAGCCATTTGATAAATGTGAATCGGTTTTAACCTTGTCTTAACTATATTAAAGTACAAATATGTATGTTACCTTTGTGCCATCCATCCATTGCGCGCGTCCATCGGTCATTAGAGGGCATCTCCAACTTCAAGGAGATGTAGAGACAATATTGTAGGATAAGGTAATATTGTCAAATATTATTAATTATAATAACAAATTTAGGGAATTGCTATATTCACACCCTTTTTCCTATAATTTGCAAGACATAGATCAATTCGCCACAGCCTAAAGGACGATATCGCCTGGAAAGCGTTTTTCACAATGCGAATATTCCGATCCAAGCCAGTGAAGCTTTGATCTGGAAAAGGATTCAGCTCCAACTGAGGGCGTTCATCGAATGTCTCCATTGCAGGGCGTACACAGCCGTACGTGGCGCCCGACTATCTGCATGTTACGACATATTAAAATCAGAACCGAGAGGCCAGACCGGCTTTCATAGACGAGCTGCCAGCCGTAGGCAATGCCTGGACCCTCCAGCGTTGCTAGGGTGGTTAACTACCTACCAGAGACCTTGTACTAACCATTAAATAGACAATCTATTCTCTCTCTAAAAAGAGTGGATATTTCTTTGCGTTGGATAATCGCGATCGACTAGTGCAGTGTTGTTGTTTCCACTTTAATTGTTTCCAGTTACATCAAAATGCTCGATCTCGAGCGTCGGGCAGTCGGTGTATCCCAATGATAACGGACCATTCGTTATATAGAATGTGTCACGATTCCACGGATTCAAGGGTGCGTTAATCTTTAGGCGTTGCACCAAGTCCGGGTTAGAAATAAACAACCGGCCATATGCTACGCAGTCGGCACCGCCATTTTTAATGACTTTGATGTCTTCCTCACGTTTGAAACCGGACGACGTCATGAGCACACCATGGTACAGTGCATGGCAGAACGACGTTGTGTAGTCTGTAGGCACCTTAGAGTTCGTACTGTGAAAGCCACGAGGCTCGACAATATGAACGTACGCCAAGTCCAATGAGTTCAGCTTCTTAAGGACATAGCCATAAGTTGGTGCCGGGTTTGAGTCGGTGCAGCCGAATGTAATTCCGAATGGAGACAAGCGGATGCCCACTTGACTCGAATCCAGAGTAGTCAACCGGCGTCGAGTGCTTCAAACATGAATCTAGCACGGTTCTCGATGCTGCCCCCGTACTTATCGGTACGCTTGTTCACGCCATCACACAAGAACTGCTCAAGAAGATACCCGTTGGCTCCATGTATCTCGACGCCATAGAACCCTGCAATGATGGCGTTTTCGGCAGCGCGTTTGTAATCCGCAACAATCCCAGGAATTTTATGAGTCTCGAGAGCACGTGGCGTGCCGTACTTGCGTCTACCCTCTCGGGTAACTGCAAAGCTGTTGACATCATCCAATCCGATTGCAGACGACGACACGGGCAAAACTTCATTTGGCAGGTTCAACGGGTGCCCCACACGACCAGTATGCCAGAGCTGCACGAAGATCTTACCGCCTTTGTCGTGCACTGCACGTGTCACCTTCTTCCAGCCTTCGATCTGTGGAGCAGAAAATATACCAGGAGCACCGAAGTAGCCACGTGCTGTGGGACTGATGTTGGTCGCTTCAGCAATGATCAGACCTCCGGCAGTGCTGCGTTGTGCGTAGTACTCGGACACGAGGTTTTTGGGGACCCCGTCCTCGCCTGTACGAAGTCTCGTAAGCGGGGCCATGACTACTCGATGGTGCAATTGCACGGGGTTCTTGCCGCCAAGCGTTAACGGGGAGAAGAGTTGGGGTAATTTGGAGGTCATGATTGATAGAGTAGATTCCGTGGAACACTGCAGCTTACGATATGAAGGGAGACGTATCCAAGCAGCTGCGCTTATGCTTTCCAAGATGGGAAGTGACCAAAGCACATTCTGCAATGGTAGACATGCACACTGATTTGTATGTTTCTAGGACGTCAGACTTTCCAACAAGTATCCATTGGCACAATGCAGCTTCCAAACTATTGCAGCCAGTTTTACCGTATCTTCGCTAGCGTGTTTGCTCCATGTACTTCTTAAAACGCACGAATTTCAGATAGGTTTGCATGTCTACTTCGTCATAAAAACAATAAGCCTCGTTCAGAGCGCAATGTGGACTGTACACATGTAAACTGCAGTGCAAACTGCACCATTGACCGCGGAAGTTGGCGCAACACAATAGTTAGCAAAGGCTGCAAACCTGACAATAAGGTGCGAAAAAATGACTGCTCTTGTCTGGCACTAGACCATGTGCAATACAGTATCTGACGGTCATGTGGTGAGATTTAAATTGGCCAGCTTGAACCGGGCTGTGTTATTGCAGGACAGACTGGTATTGCGGTAGTACGACACTAAGTAGCAATGTGCACATTGGTGGACAGGCACAGCACTTCTATATCAGGGATATAACGGTAGAATTGCCGCAAAAAGCGGTACTTGGACTCGAACGTTATCTACGGTATGTGTAATACTGAACCTGATGCGTGAGAGTGAACTTCGTATAGGGATATAACGGTAGAATTGCCGCAAAAAGCGGTACTTGGACTCGAACGTTATCTACGGTATGTGTAATACTGAACCTGATGCGTGAGAGTGAACTTCGTATAGTTGTTGCTTGAGCGTAGGTGGGAGTCCCGCAGTTTCGATCCTGAAAATTTGCCGGCGAAATGGCTCATTTGTTGCGTCTAGGCAAGAAGTCTACCCACTAATTGACAGTTTTTCAGTTGTCGACATCGAAACAAAGTCAAGAACATGTCATTACGTGAAGAGAGAACGTTGTTCAAGATAATAAACTGGAGAACCTGCGCTTTGTTTCATACTATGCTTGCCTATCGTGAAGAACTGCTCTGGATATTTGAGTTGTACTTAGTCATCAGGTACGTGGCTTCTGCCGCCATATTAATCTGCATGAGTCTTTCCATGAGATTTTTCTGCTCCGTCGAACCATTTGAAGAGGTTGTGCCATGAACTGTTGAGCTGGCTGCTGTATCGTTGGAGCGGAAGGGCTTGATATATTTCAGCTTGTCCTGCTCGAACGTGTCTACATGTTCAGGTTCATTCGACCACTCCTTTTCGAATTCCGAAGAACGATGGATCTCAATCTCGTCGCCTTCATCACCGTCATAGACCGTAATGTGCTGTTTCCATCGGTTGCTAAGACTTGTGACTTCTGCATCCTCTTCATCCGAGGACTCTTCGCTCATATCACTCTCATCGCTAATTAAATCGTGACCGCGATATGCCCCATTTCCTCCGGCGTTGTAAATGTAGTCCACCGACTGGTTGCCCATGTATCTGCTACCATGTGATGACATGTCGCGTTGAAGCACCACAGTGTGCTGGCCTGAGCTACGGGTGTTACCGTAGGCTCTCAGAACCTCTTCGTCCGAGGATTCTTCGCTCATTTCACTATCATCGCTAATTAATCCGCGACCGCAATATGCTCCGTTTCCTTCGACGTCGTAGGTACTGTCCACCGACTGGTTGCCCATGTATCTGCTACCATTTGACGACTTGTCACCCGAAAGCACCACACGCTGTGGTGCTTTCGGGCTACGACTGTTACCGTAGGCTTTCGATGGCACATTGCAGCGCATATAATCGCTTGTCGTGTGCTCCGCTCTGGGCGGGCCTGCAGCTGTCTGAGTCTCCCCTGATAGACCCAAAAATCGGCCTGTCGATGGCTGGTATGCGTCCATGTTTCGAGCTTCATTGGAGCTAGAACCCGGAATCATCGATGGCTTTTTGTAGAAAGATATTGAAGGGGATGACGATACAGTAGTTCGTGTACTGGAGTAGCTGCTAATATTGCTGCATCGGCTTGATAGGCGATCCACACTTCTTCTAGTGGAAGGCATCGTGGCTGGCCTAGATCGATCCTGCGACGGCGCGCGCTGACGTTGCACTGAATCTGGGTCAGAAAACGAAGATATCGTAGAGAGAGCTGGCCGTCCTGTCAATGGAGCGCGCGCGTATCGCGGTGATCCAGATCGGTTGGATCCAGTCCGACCTGACGAATCTTCAGAGTGGAAGCTGACCCGAGCAGCGGAGCGTCCATAGAGCTTTTCCTGCACGTCACTCAAGCATGGCTTACAGAAGAAGTAGCTGCATGGAAAGTTGTCAGTGTTGCGTGACGGGTAAATCATCTTGGTCATTCGACAGCGGTTGCACACACTCTTGCCGCAGGTCTTGCAGTTCTGCTTTGACTTATGCATCTTTAGCTTGGTGTCGCAGATATCGCATGTCTTACTCCTTCAGTACGCATCGGTCATTAGCACCACACACAATACAAGGCAGCAAAATTAACAATAACGTACTGTGTGCTGGTAATGAACATTTCCTTGCCACTCACAAGTTTCGACAGTCGTTTCGCTTTTGCACATTCCAGTGCACTCGCCACTCCCAGCCATAGCTCTGCCATGATAGTGTCTGCACTCCAGCTTCTCGACTTTCCTCCGACTGTATGTTGTCCTTTCATGTAAACTCCTACGCGGTTATTTGGCAGTGGACGGAAAATGTAGCACACTGCGGCCGTGGATCGTGTCAGGCCCTGCTTTTCAAAAGACGGACATTCGTCCACCCGTACGGACTGCATAATTAAGTAGCCCACTTGATCCCCATTGGCATCTTGTGTGCGTCCAAGTTGCTCGTGCCAGCACAAGTCTCGCTTTTGCATCAGTTTGCCCGTAGGAGCGCACGCGAGCCACTTGAGTCCCTCAAACCGGTACGAAAAACTCGTGTCGTCTTCATTGTACGGGTCCTTCTCTATCACATGCAGCACTGCTGCATCCAGATAGACACTGTGCATAATGGAGCGTTGAGTCTTGAGAGCTTCGTTGGTCGATGCGTAGAGTGCAAGGAGAACGCCTTCCAACGTGCCAGTCATCTGACCAAGTACGTTCACTTTGACAGCGTTGCCCTTGATGAACCCTCTTTCTCGGTAGAGCTGTAGACCATTGCGGTCTCCAATGAGCTTCCATTGGTCCGGTTGCTGGCTTGGATGGAACCGAGTCACGGGCATTTCATCGTCCAGCGTCTGGTTCAATAGTCGCGACGCCGTACGATGGAAATCATCGGAAAGCTGCGTCGATACGGTCATTTCTGGGAAAAAGTCATCCGGGAATGGCAGCTTCATCTCTTTCAGTACACGAGCTAACATCGAGACGGGATATCGCAAACTGACAAAGTAATCTCTGTGGTGCAGAAAGTTGCACTGACGTAGGTGGGTAGTCAGAAGCAGATATTTTACATGGCCTTGAGCTTCGAACGGAGTATCGATACGATATTTTATGAAAGTATTTTGACATAGTGAGCTTGCAAATCGTGACTGTATTGTAATGTAAGTACATGTCCTCAGCTTCCAGTTGTAAAACAATATGCTGAACACTTTGAAAGCCATACGTATTAATGGTTCAGATACAACCACTGTTGGTCATCGATACCTTTGCATCGTCCGCCAAGAGGTGACTTTCAAGATTAGTCAAACTAGAAGAAAAGCAAAAGCCTGTGCACAATTAAAGCCATCATGCTGACTGGAAGGGTAAAACAGCGAGGTCGTAAATGTAAGGCTATGCATGAGAAGATAGTCTAACGCTTTTATTGTTCCAACGGACAGTCCAGTCAATTGGGTTCTCTGTGCTATCATTTCAATAATCAAAGTTCTGTCGTTGTCACTGTGGTGTAATATACGATGGGTTCAGCACTGCTGGACGGACTGTAGTCGCGTGTCAGCGTTAACCATAGGCAGTTGCAGGTCCTCTTTGCTTCTTAAGATAAAGCATATACCAATCGAAGCTGAACCTTTGCAAGGCGTGCTCGAAAGTCTGGTCTCCACTAAAGTGAAGGCAAGATCAAGGCAGTATATCGCTTGCGTGTTGCGAACATGTTGCTTCTTGACTGTACTGTTCACAAAAGCTAGACAAATTGACCTTAGACAACAGCTAGCGTCTCCGGCTGACGCATACGTCCAATTGACGTAAGCCAGAAACAATACAACACAAGCTTATTTTGACGGCGGTAGCGCTCGAGCACGGTATCGCTGCATGCTGCTTGTTTCTTTCCTTACGGCCCTGATTGTGATAATGTGCTGCGAATACATTTGCTGCGTGTGAAGCCGGCATACTAGCCATGTTACTGCTGTGCTCGCTGGGCCAGATCAATACCACCCTGCAACGCACGACTACAAGTATACAATTGCCGAGAGCTGACTGGTAGAGCGTGGGTCTGCTGTTGCATTTCCAACGAGGCAGATGACGTGGGGATGTAGCAGCGGAAGGAAAAAAACGGAGTTTGAACACTTATAAAGTACTTCTTAAACAGCTTTTGAGTGCAGGAGTTGGATTAACTCTTAGTAGAAAGTGTACCACCACGCAGGACACCCCTAGGATCAAACGTTGTCTACTTCTTTTGGTGAGTAGGTTCGCCACACGCAAGTCTCAAGAGCTAATGATATGGGGGCTCGTTTCTAAATTGCTACAGCTATAATGTCGTGAAGGCACAACTACTGCAGCGAATGCAAAAGCAGAATCGACAGACGAGTGGCAACACTTGCACAGAATCTTGCGTGCTCAACTTTACCTTGTGCATCTTTCTTCATCACGAACATGCGGCTCAAGTCGAAAGACGCCGTAAAGTACTCGGACGTGCCTGGTGTGTTGCTTTTTTTCTTCTGTGTCTACCAATGACTTGTTATTTGATATCTACCTAAACTGGCAGCAAGATGATGTCCTGCTACTGCTCAAATGTCCTGCCACCAAGGAAAGCTTCCTTTCACTGTAGAACGCGTTGGTTCTCGTATCAAAGTTGGTGATGCACTAGGTTAGCTATGGAAGAGACACCATGGTGTCGTCCCCGCACGAAAAGCCCCTCCCTGCTACACATTCTCCTTCTTGATACGTTGGCCAAGTCGCTCACGACCATAGTGACACAAATTGCGCAGTCACGTATGGGTGAGGACAGATGAGACGAGGTCAGTGGTTCAGCACGATTGGTAGGCTGCTTCACTCAGTTTTACGCCAAGGTAGGGCTATAAGCCATGATGCTGTAGACCGTGATCGTTCGGTAGTGGCGTGCGAACAGCTGCGGATGTTTACCTGCTAGTAATGCAGCAGACAATAATCTGCCATTGCAAAGGTAGCGTGCCCATCTGGACTTTTGTATTGCTAATTCTGCCATAGATAATAAACGGGCGTTTGTTGATGTGATGACATGCCATAAAATAGTGATCGCTGGTTTTCTGACAGTTGCAATGTTCGTTTGAGGAATGCAACTGTTTTGTCGTACCCACCGAATTTCTTTGTCAGTCGTATTGTGTGCAATAGAAGAAATCGCCGGCTGACCAAGTACTTATGAGCATAATTACCATAATATGGTCGATACAAGCTATCGGCTGGCGTGCGATTTCTGTCCTGTGAGTGACTACAGCATTTCTACGATCGTCGTGCCCGCAATCGATTATTGGGTACCAAATGCACGATGGCGCCTTTCCTACGGTTGTGAGCGTGAATTCGAACTCGTAACGTGCCAGTGCTGGGGCCAGTTTGCCACAATGCGGTACAACGGCAACAAAGATCGTCTATCGGGACGCCGGAAAAGTGATGCCCCTTCAATAGTAAGATCATCAAATCCAGACGAAACACTGTATGATAGTCTGTACATGTGGACGCGAACGAAGGCAGCCATAACCATTTTGTATCACTCCTTCCGGCATAGAACTTGTCACATTGCAAAGGGTTCATCCTCACGTGTCAGTTTACGAAGTGCAACAGTACAAATAACGACTCAAAAGAGCTCGATAACTCCTTTTTCACTCGTTACTCATTTTCTTTTCTGAAGCATGAAAGCGCTGGCCTATCGATTGCGTAGCCGTCATAGTAGGAGAAATGACGAAATTGTAGACGATGTCAAACTGAGCTTTTGCTTTGAAGAAGCTGTCAAGGACGAGAGCATCAATGATCGGAGCCCAAGGGATAAAAATAGAGAAAGAAGAGCGATGGATGATAACGGGAGGAAGAATCGAGGCAATCACAACAAGGATAAGGACAGCTGCAAGAAGCTTGCTATGACATCTGCCACTCAGTCTTATAATAAAGCCGATTTGCTGTTACAATCAGAGCAGCCCAGCTTCCAGCCGCACAGACGAACAGTTAGTGCTCCCACCATGACGCGGGGCAGCAGTCTAAAGCAGCAACACCAGCACAGGATGCTGGCCAAAGCCCACTTCAATTCGAGAGCGGACGTTACTTCTAATGCGGCTAACACGCTCCGACTGTATGACAGACTGATGTACGACCGAGGGATCTGCGTGGCCAGCTCGTCGTCCATCATTCACAGTCAAAGCAGCAACGGCAGTGCTGAACGATCGAGACATGGAGCGTTCATTAGCTCTAATGCTAGCTCCTCCTCAGACAGCAGTCAGAAACCTGAAGTAGTAATAAACGTGAGATACAGTGGCATTCTCATGATCAAGCGCGGACCACTGAAGGTTGCAGACAAGCGCTACTATTTCGTAACATGTAGTAGTCCGGAGCTGTATTCCTTTAGAGACGAGATGTCGTTTAAGCTGTGGTTGTCATCAGGACACTCGATTAGAGGAGGAGATGCTGGTGCCAGAACTAGTGGACTGTTTTCTGTGCTTGTGGGCACCGTGTTGCGTGCGGATGCAGCATCTGAGGTGGAAGGCAGTAGTGGTGGCTATCACTCGGAGAAGACGTTTCATGTGATGATGGGATTGGCGTCCAAGTGCTTTACGTTACGTTTTACAGCTGAAAGCGGGAGAAAGGCGACGCAGTGGCTTGAAGCTCTTCAGGAAGTGCAGCTTACTAAGCGCTATGGAAACCAACTTTCTCGCAAATTGGGCTCTGCTGCAGACACGAGACTTTTGCTCCCTCTCGATGAACACAATGGGCTTTGTGGAGCGGGTACTGCAATTACTTTAGATGAATCGACGAGTGAGCAAGGTGATACTGATATGGAAAACATGTACGGAGAAGCTATCGATGAGATCGGTGACGACCGCGAACCTGCCGTGATGAAGTCCGCATTGACATCAAATGCAAATCTGCCGCGTGTGTACACAGGTGGCATATTGCAGAGCAAGCCACGTTTTGACGACAATGGCGATGCTACGACTGTTTCGACACGCACGTCGCACAGTGGTAGCTCACCGACTTCGGTCGTGTCTCGAGATCCAAATCGTCCTGTATCGTGCAAATCTGGTAGAGCATCTCTTGACTTATCAGTTCAATTCGAGCCTTCGATACTCTCGCTGATTTCGGATCGTAATGATCCTCACGGGCATCGCAGTTCGTCTATAGCTGATAGGGCAATCACAAGGTAACACCAATGCAAGTGCTTCTCTTCGTATGCCAGTGGATAAGGTCTTCGTACTGGCGTCTCGTGATGTCACGAGTACAAACGGACTGGAGCTGCTGATAGGCAAAAGGGCGAAATCCGCCATCACGAGTTATGCAGGACCCTACGAATGGTGAACCTGTATCTTGGCTACTATGGGGTTCCGATATTTCACCAACTTGGCGATATCTCAACTATCGCGATCCCGATGCCCACCTCATCGCCTCGATAGGTGGAAAGTGCTATCAGACGTCCATTATGGAGGCGACACGCAAAGTCGCTACGATCAATGGCGGTGGGTGCCAAGACACCTTTTACTTGCATAGGGAACCTGATGAAGCGGGTCCTCGGCTAGCTCCGCACAGAGGTTTTGGCTTTCGTTACTTGCTCCATAAGCAGCCCCTACACTCTCTCCAACATTTCCAAGATACAACAAGCCAAACATATCGTTCTCGAGAATTGACCTACCCGGAACCCGCAATTCATCATTTACCTGCAAATAAAAGGTTTCCTGGCACACACTACGCCATTGATCGTAGCGAGCCTTGTGTGTCGCCTCCATAATGAACGTCTGACAGCACTCTTCCACATATGAGGCGAGAGGTGTGGCATCGGGATCGCGCATACGCCCTTTTACATATGCCAAGTCTGTGAGCACATATTTCGGAACCCCATAGCGCCAAGCTACAGGTTCACCATTCGTAGGGTCCTGCATAACTCGTGATGGCGGTTTCGCCCCTTTTGCTATCAGCGCATCCAGTTCCTTTTGTACTTGTGACATCCGAGACCCAGTAAGCGAGGACCCTTCCACTGATACGAAGAGAAGCACATTGCCATTGGTGTTACCTTGTGATTGCCCTACAGCTATAGACGAACGCGATGCCCGTGAGTTCATTCGATGAAATCGCGAAGTTGGAAGTGATTGAACTGATGCAAGAGATGCTCTAAGATTTGCACGAACGGGACGATTTGCATGCTCAGACCTGTCGTCGAACTGTCGTCGAACTGTCGTCTGTCGTCGAATTGTTTATTGTGCTATTGTGCTATTGTGTTGACTATTCAGGAAAGAAGGTGTAAAGATTCTGCAGCTATGGCATGTTCCGTTGTTTACTTGTCTTGCAAATTTTTCGCTTGCGACCTTACGATGTAGCGGTCGTTTTCAAACTTTCATCTCATCCCAAATATCAACAGAGACTATATATACAATGAATGCCAACTGCAGTTTATTAATGTCAAGTTGACATCACCCAACCATCCAAGAAAGACCTTACATTCCAGTACCATGGGCGGCGGCAACGGACAAAAGTCAGCGACCAAGCGTGAGCGCAATATGCCAAGAAAATGAAGGATGCCAAGCAAAAGGACCATGCCGAGTCCAAGGCCAAGATGGAAGCCGATAAAACGGGCATCAAGTGCAAGATCTGCATGACCACGTTCCTTATCACAGCCAACGGACGTCGTGGCTGTAGCCATCCATTCGTCCATCCACTAATCTCTATTCTTGCCCTAGCAGAAGACGCAGCTAAATGACCACTTTGAAAGCAAACACTCGTTTAAGGGCTTTACCATTGTGCAGTGCTTTCCTGACATAGTCTAAGAAAGAGAAAGACAATTGGTTGTCTTGTCAACGCTTCCATTCTATCATCATTCTACATTATCAGCAAGAAACGCGTGTTACAGACCCTTTTCTAGTGAGATCGACATGTAGTTCCAAACAAGAAGAGAGGTCTATAAGTCTGTTGAACCGACATTTATCAAAAGCACAAGAACAATGACATTGTTTGACTTTTACTTTCTCGTCTTGCTTCCCCTTGGACTCTTTTTAGAGCTTAAATGAATGACCTGACTGACCTGACTTTACATGCAGATTTAAAAAGCTATTCCTACGTGGTCGTCCACTCGTTCTGACCGTGCCAACCAATGACAAGTCATTACTCTATCATTCCTCAAATCTCCTCAGAGGACTCAAGTCTCTTTACCACCTTTAGTAATATCATGGGTGGTGGCAATGGACAAAAGTCGGCGGCAAAGCGCGATCGCAACAACGCTAAAAAGATGAAAGATGCCAAGCACAAGAACCATGCCGAGTCCAAGGCCAAGATGGAAGCAGACCGAACTGGGCTCAAGTGCAAAATCTGCATGACCACGTTCCTTATCACGGCTAATGTACGTCGTCATATTATACCGCGACCATCAATACCGGTATGAACTAACCTGTTTTACCATTGATATCATAACAGAAAACGCAGCTGAATGATCATTTTGAGAGCAAACACTCGGCAAAGGGCTTTACTTTTGAGCAGTGCTTTCCATAATTGTAGGTGGTAATACGCAAATACCGGTATCTACAAATGCTGCAAACTTAAGAAGACGATAAAAGAGCGTAAAGCGCAAGGCACGTTCTGCAGTACATGTATTTTGGAATACGGATACTATTGTTGTGGCTCTACATTTCTCTCTATCTCTCTTGTTATTGTTTATCGGTTCTGTTACTTCTTTCCCTTGAAGCGACGAGGAGTAAAGTGACCAGTCTTCTGCTTTCTAGTCAAGGCCGATTTTTTCCCACTTTTTGACACGGACAAAGTAGCAGTCGTCGACTTCTTGTCCGACTTTTGGATGTGACGCTGTTTGCCATATAAGACGCTGCTGGTGCGCTGCTGGAATTTTTTACGCTTCTCGAACGGGTTTTCCTTGCTGCCACGCAGCAGTAAACGAGCGGGCACGCCGACCATATCAAACTCTTCACGAAGTTGGCTCAGTAGAAACCGCTGATATGCCTCAGGCACATCGGACGGTTTGCTAACGAACACTGCAAAAGTGGGCGGACGGGACTTCACTTGTGTCGCGTACTTGACGTTTAGCGTCTTGCCCTTGACCGTTGGAGGCGGGTGATGCCGTGCCATGGCTTTAAGCCATCGGTTTAAGCGGCCCGTGGTAACGCGAAGGTCCCATCTCTCATACGCCTTTAGTACTTCAGGCACCAGTTTCTTTATACCATTGCCCGTGAGCGCCGAGATGGGAACCACAGGCACACCTCGTACCTGTGCAAGCGAATCCTGCAACTCGTTCTGAATACGCTGCAACTCAAAGTCAACGCTAGCACCAGCAAGGTCGCTCTTGTTGGCTGCAAGTACCAGTGCACGGCCCTCTTCGATCACGCGCTGTGCGATGGTCAGGTCCATGTGAATAAGCTTGGGCTCGCTCATATCTACGACAACGACTACAACCTGAGCCGAATCAATTGCACGAAAGGCATCGCGCACTGACAGGTTTTCAATCTGATCGTCATGATCACGCTTGCTGTACCGCCGAATACCTGCCGTATCCACGAGCTTAATGGGTCGTCCGTGGAATGTCCACGGCACTTCTACCGAATCGCGCGTCACTCCAGGCCTAATAACACGAGCACAATATGTAAAACACACTGTAAAGCATAGACTTCACCACCAAACCCGAATCAACTCTTCACCACGTACTCGGGGCCTGTGAGAACACGGTCGTTGCGCACAATCTTGTTGAGCAACGTGGACTTGCCTACATTAGGGCGACCGACAATAGCAAGCTTAATCGTACGAGGCTGCACATCCACAAACAGTCCACAAAAATTCCGTCAGAATTCTCGTCCACGGGCTTTACCTTTTCAACGTGCAACTCGCACGCACATCGTCCTTTTCCGGTTCTACATCCTCCTCTTTCCCTTGTGCCTCCTTGTGATGTTTCTCCTTCTCAAATTTCTCATACATTGGAATAACCTCATCAAGTAACAATGTAATTCCTTCCCCGTGCTCTGCTGACAATGGAATGGCTCCTCCCATTCCCAACTCGTAGCAGTCATTAAGTTCGGTCTCCCAACGCTCTGGATCACCCTCCAATTTATTAGCTACCAGATGAACTGATGCTTTGGGATTCTCTCGACGCAACCAACGAGCAAAATGTGTATCCACAGGCGTAATGCCCTGTCGTCCGTCCACTAAAAAAAAGACAAGATCAGCCTCATGCACGGCAAGTCTTGTCTGTTCCAGCATTCCTTCCTCTAAGGTCCCGGAAGGCGCGTCTTCTAGTCCTCCAGTGTCTATCACATCCAGATCTAATCCAGCGACGGTAGAACGGGCATAGCGACGGTCACGCGTCGTCCCTGGGACGTTATGTACGATAGCCGAGCGTGTCTTTGTCAGACGATTAAAGAGCGTGCTCTTACCTACATTGGTGCGGCCTACAAGGGCAATACGAAGACGAGGATGATCTTCTAGAAATTCACGAGGCTTCAGATCGTTCGTGAGGGATGACAAGCACCGAGAAGGGCGCACCAGTCCAGTCGAGAAGCGTGACGAACGCTTCAGGAGACTCCGCATGTTGAAAATGACGACTGGTTGTGCTCATCACTATTCCTTCACAGAGGTATACCTTCTAATAGCGATATGCGTCAAAAGTAAGGAAGATATTCCAAACTGGAGGCTATTTGGATAACATTTACAATAACGTTGGTGAAATTTCACTTTTGATTTTTATATTTTTGATCATGGGCCGCCCACAGCTCCCGATCTGGAATGAATTCGTGACGACGGTGCCTGCAGATGCAGATAAGCGCAGCCCTGATGTCGCATGTCTTCATTGCCGAGCACTGGTGTGTAATGCACGTCCTGCGAGTCTCTTGAGTCACGCCTCCCGCTGTTCGGAAATGCCGGATCATATTCGTCTTCGAGTAGGAAGGAGCGACCGTCCCCCAAAGACGATGGTGTCGCCTTTGGGGCTGCAGAATACAAAGACGGGACAGATTAATACTCAGAGTGAGAATCAGAATCAAATTGAGGGTGAGGAGGAGGTCGAGATGGAAATGGAGATGGAGACGACGTCGACGACGCCGCCGCCGCCAATGCCAACGGAGCGTCGCCCTGTCTTGGGCAAACGCGCGCGGATCGTTACGTCGACGACTGGACCCACTTCGGACACTTTAGAGCAAGTGCTCACGTCCATTCGAGACGTGATGGATAAATCACTTGAGGTCAAGCGCGAGGAGCTGCAGCTGAGAAAAGAAGAGCTTGAGTTTCAGAAGGAAGCACTGAGTGCCAAATTGGATGACCGCCGTCAAGCGAGAGAGGAAGAAAGGAGAGACAGACGAGAACAACGGGAAGCGGATCGACAGGAGAGACTGGAGCTTGCAAGGATCGAGAATGAAAAGAACTTGGCGTTCTTGAAAGCAGTGATGGAATCATCAGCGCAGCGACGGTGAACGCTATACAGAGACGCTGGTGTGAAATGAGATTGTAGGACGTTGGTCTTTCGTGCATGGCGAACACCTTGCAGAGAGAGAAGTAGTCTAGCCAAAGGTTTGTTTGGATTGGTCTTATGCATTGATAGTGTGGTGATGAGGATGCAAACCAAAGAATTGTTCAGCCTTCTAGCGCTCGTATTTCGCCCAAAGGTGCGCGAAATGCTCGTCAAAGCGGCCTGTGAAAGAGAAGTAAGTTTAGCCTGATTACGACTACCATGCAATAGAACAAACGAACCGATAATGGGGCCACCCTTGTGGATAACGAGATTCTCAGCGTTGCCTACGACGGCCTGGCGACTCCAGTTGAACGATCCTACGTGAAAAAGAATGTAGCGGGATCCCTGTAAATGGTACGACAACACTTTTAGTCTGAAGGAAGGCACTGCTGGCGACGTACCATTTAGCAAGATCTTCTTGTCAATAACACAGAACTAAGAACAAGAACCAGATCCATCAGTAACTCATAACGTTCTCATTAACAGTAGGATGTCAACTCACCTTGTGGTGCATGTACGTTCGCGCATTGTCGTCACGCACTGGAATACCCTGTTCCCCAGCACAAGTCATTAGTCCGAACAATGGAACGATACAGTCCATATAAAGTCAACCACCTACAGCGTCGACAAATTTCAGAATGTCAGATCCTTTGCCCTTCATCTGGCCATCGTCCGTGATGACGCGAACTTTAACCCCACGGGCGTGAGCATCCAGCACGGCATTTGCAATCTGTAAGTGGAATAATCGACAGCGTATCTTATTAATGGCCGACATAACAATGAGGTCACACTTTGTTGTCCATACTTCGTCACACGTGATAGTAAAGACGCAAATGTCCATTGTCTTTTTAGCGTTTTTGAGGTATTCAAGCATTGTCATGAGAGAACTACCCTGGTCATGAATCAACTTGCAATTCTTGCGTGTGCAGCCCTTGTCCATGTGGAAATTCTTGCATGGCATGCCTGGGTCAGGAAAGAACAGAACATCCACGAACGAGTCGCCTAAATGGGCAGTAGTCTCGGATCCGAGACAATTTCCCATGGTTGGTGTAGACTACTTCCTGTTTGAAGGAGAGAACTGAAATCACCATCCCGGCCATTATTCGTATTACTTTATGTAGAATACCACTACCTGACATTGATTACGACATCGCAAAACAAGGTGTAGTTTCTACGCACTTTCTACCAATCGTTGCTTCGACGCATCTTATTCTACCATCTTCAAAAGATGCGCGATCATCTACAGCGCGAGAGCGTCTTGTCGGCCATTGCCATGCTGGTTTCCGGTACTTTCAGCACCGTCATCATGAAGACCGAGTATGCTGTGCGTTCTCGCGGCACAATCACGTGTCTGGATCCACATACGGATGAGCAGACAACGCTGTGTCCTTTTGCCAAGCCCTGGTTTGGCGTATTGCAGATGAAAGTAGCCATGACACTTTGCCTCGTCTTCCTGTACGTGCGTAAACGCTCGCAGCATCTCCAGTACCTGGAGACGCCAGTGCTAAGGATGCATAAGGACGGACGACGGTATGTGGCCTCTACGCCGTCTAATGAGAAGCTGTCGGTCATTAAACAAAAGTACGCGAGCCATGCCGGAGCTGAGAACAAGGTGGAGGTTCTTAAGCAGAAGTACCGACCACATCTCAATGGCAAACTTGATGAGCAGTCACCGTTACTAGGGTCGCGATTACCGGGGAAAGAAGATGGTCAGCAGGGACGAATATCACTACGTACCATGATGACGATTGCCCTTCCATCCTTGCTGGATTTACTACAGACTGTGCTGTCCAATGTCGGACTGCTATGGGTCTCGTCATCAGTGTATCAGATGGTACGAGGCTCGATTATCATTTTTAGCGCGTTCTTCTCGGTAAGGCTCATGGGCAAAAAGCTGCACGGATATCATTATGCTAGTATCTGGATCGTCATGCTGGCGGTCGCACTCGTGGGGTATGCTGGCGTGAGACACCACTCGAAGGAATCGGCTGCAGACGACACCGACTCATTCAATGCAGCTCTGGGGCTGTTTTTCATTACTGCTGCGCAAATTTTGTGCGCACTGCAGATCGTCGTGGAGGAACACATGATGCTGGCGTTAAACGTAAGCCCAATGTTGCTTGTGGGCTTCGAGGGTCTATGGGGACTAGTGTTCTACGTCATATTGATGCCAATCCTCACGCTCACACCTGCCGACGCAGGCTCGGCATTTGCCCGAACGTGGCACGAGGACTTTGTCGACTCGTTCGTGCAGGTGAAAAACTCGCCCACGCTCATGGTGCTTATTCTGGCCTACATTGTGGCGGTTGGCACGCTTAACGTGACAGGAAACTACGTCACCAAGCATCTCTCGGCTGTCATGCGCAGCATTACCGAGGTTTGTACGTTCTTGGCTGTTGTCCATCAATGAGAGACGCCTTCTGAACAACAACAGTATCGCTAATGACTTACCCCTTCTGTTTGTCTATAGACGCTGCGCACCCTCGGCGTCTGGAGCCTCAGTCTTTTTGTCTACTACGTGATGCAGTGGCAAGGCCCGGCGTCGCCCGGCGAGCAGTGGACAACCTACAGCTGGTTCGTTTGTGCTGCTATGTGACCCCAATGTCTTCCGCGTTCAAACCAAAAATTGAGCGTATCTGCTGTTTCTTGACAGGCTGGAGCTACTGGGCTTTGTGTTAATAATCTATGGCACACTGGCGGTAAGTTCTGCTATCTTGACGAGAGTGGCCGCATAAACGATGGGTCTAACATCTATCGCGCGTGTGCCTACTACAGTACAAACAGCTTGTCTGCTTGCCTGTATCCGGCCTCTACGCGGCGCGCGATCTTCATCAAAACCGCGACCGCAAAGGAGCCTCCAGGTCGCCCTTTATGGGTAACTTGCATAAGTAGAAGGGGTCTGCAATGCAAAACACTTCGGTCATAATGACGGTGGTGGTTCTTGTCTCACAAATCGCAATGGGAGGATAAACGTGGCAAGACGACGAGTTTGCACAAGACTGTACCTTTACCCAGGAAGCTTGACTTCCCAATTCGCGCCTTCGAGCAACAACGGCCAAGAGACGAAGACCTTCAAAGAGCCGGTCAACCGGCCCCCTCCGACCAGGGCGGGAAGTCCCTCCAACGGGAGGCCCAGGATAAGAGGGGGAGGTTTTCCCTCTGCTGCGTGCGCTATGGGGGGCAAGCGCAGCGTGCGAACCGTAAGGGGAGCACCAACCCTGTTACCCCCGGGGGGGAGAGGATCGACGACCGCGGTTATCATTCCCTCTTTCCCTACTAGTTCCTGCTATTCTACGTCAGCCTTCAAGACGCCGATTCGATCGCCGAGCGCGAATCTCGGTCCCACGAAGTGAACTTGCCAAGAACGTGAATTGATCGGCCCCGTCCAGGTGCATCAGCGGTCGATCGGGACTGATCGGTGTGGTGCCCGGCGCTTGTTGCGATCATTGAGCCACTGTTTACACCTCGGGCTGGATACCCGATTCCACGTGCCCTTTTCGGAGTGTCCCCCGTGACGCCCGACGTCTCGAGCCAGCAGATTGAGCCAGCGAGGCGAAGAATGACGAAGTCCTGGTAGAAGTACTCCAGACATCTTACCAATCCTTAATGTTTGAAATAGACAGTCTGTTCTTCACCTTTACCCAGGAAGCGATACACTTTTGTTACAGAGGCTAATGTCCTGGTATGATAAGAGTGCCGAAGCCAGAGCTTGTTACAGTGACGATGCTTAGGATTGTATACAGCCCCGGTCTTATCCCGGCTGCTGCAAATCGTTGCTGCGTTTGTTTTCTGCACTATGGCGATACACGCAAAGACGGACGCGAATTGGTGTCGTGCGATCGATTTGCAAAATCGATGTCGTATCTACCAGCGGCTTTGTCATTGTATGTATTCTCACAAGCTTTGATTGACAAAATTTAGTCATAGCTGTATTGTCTCTTGCATCTACCATATTTCGACAGGTTTAGTCGCACGACAGTGGAGCATAGACAGGTTATGGGAAAGGGGGGACGATCACGGTATTGCTTGTTACAGCTGCTGCCCGTGTATTGCAATAAAATCGATTGATACCTGTTTTAATAACGCAATATATCACGTATCAAAAGAATGACAAAGTCTTGTACACTGTCTATATTTAATATTCCAGAATATATGTAATCTAACAACTCACAGCTTTACTTGAAACCAGCTGTATGGTGTGGTCCACCTCGTCCGCAACCGGCTTCCGACTCCCTATAAGCTCTTTGCAGTGCTAACAGAAACCGGTCATCTCCACTTTCTCTTCCTTGCTGTTTTCCATACATTATCCCCCACTCACCATCGGCACAAGACCATCAAGACATGAGTAAAAGTATGGGCTTTACCGTCTTCCAAGTACCTGGTGCCAAGACGCCCAAGCGTTCTTCGAACGCACGACTGGGCGGTGCCACCGTGGTGTCAAGCGCTAACACTTTATACAACATCGAAGCACCGTACAGTGCTCCTTCACCAGCCAATAGCATGTCCGGTTCTAGCTCACTGCTCCTTACACAACAACGGAGTCAGCGCAATAGCGGCACGACATTTGCAGCTTTTCAACCCCCGGGAAGTCTCCAGCCCGTCTCATCCCACAGTTCCGGTATGATGGCGTCTCTGGACTCACCTTATGGTGCTGCGTCTGGCAGCGTCAATAGCTATAGCTCCAATGGTAGCAATCCAGTCCCTATGGGTGTTGGAATTGGATTTAAAGCCGGAACAAGCGATGAACAACAGTCACGAGGAGGTATGAGCTGGTTGCGAACAGGACGCACTATTCGAGTCAAAGACTCGGGTGATAGTTTCCGATTTCCATTAGATGATGCACATCTACCTACTAGTAACGTGTCAAGTGAGCAATTTGAAGCACTTAAGGTCAAGCTACAGAGTATTGCAGAGACGTACGTCAACTCATCTGCTACGTGGTTGGATAATCCTAGTTTGAGTCCACAGTACCGTAATCAGAACTGGAAAGTGCACTTGGACAAAAAGAATTGTGTCATTTACCGCCAAAAAGAGGCTTCAGATGTGAGCAATCGACAGAGGAAGGCCATGTTGCGTGCCAAGCTGGACACGTCGCTGGAGGAAATCATCTACGCTGTCAACTGCTCGACGACCGAGGACCAGCGGGCCTATATGTCTCACTGCTGCCAGGAGATCTTCCTGGACTCGGCCGTACTGCAGGTACACGAGAAAGGGGCAAGCGAAGATTTGTTCTCATTCTTGGGTGTCAAGTGGCTTGCTTTTCAGAGCTCAGTAGATTCAGTATTCAGCTGCCGGGATATGTTGGTTGTCGAGTTTTCAAAGACAATGGAGGACGCGAAGGGACAGAAGGTGCTGGTGAAGGTCCAGCAGAGCATCAGTATGGCGGATTGTGGTGGTGACGAACGCAACTTTGGATTTGCACGCACAACCGGATTGTGGGTATGGTTGTTCCGTAGTATGGGTCCATCTAGCGGCAAAGTGGACGTGTCGGTAATCTCGGAAGACTACTTTGATAGTAATCGCAACACTCCCAGCTGGTTTGCAAACCGCATCGTGTCGGCACTTTACACGGTGGCAAATCATCACGCCACGGCTGCGGATGCTAAGTTCTTGGTGCGATGTCGTCTGATTACGAACAAAGCATGGGTGCCGAACAATGAGCGCCCCGCATGCTCCGTGTGCTTCAAGAGTTTCAATTTGTTGCGATCGCGTCACCACTGCCGCGTATGCGCTGAAATCATGTGTGGCGCTTGCACAATTGAGCTCGGTATTCAGGCCAACAAACTTCCGTCTGGCATGCTTACAGAGTCTGGCGGCAGCTTTATCGTCAGTATCGAAAAGTTCTGTCTCAAGTGCATAAATAAGGCTCGGCAAGTGCGCCGCAGTGCGCTTTCAGAAAAGAGTGCTGGGATTACGCTCTGCACGGACGAGGCTTACGAAATCAATGTGCCCTCTTCCTATGCTTCTCGTGCTAGTGAAGAGTCCTGCAGCCAGGTACCGCCCATTCGAGGATCGATTTCAGAGCACTTGGTCGACAGAGAGCTGAATTTTCAGCAAAATTACTCACTGGCGTCTTCGTCTTCGTCTACAAGCTCACTAGGAGGAGCCGGTGGCATAAGTGGTGACAAGTCAGGCATCTCGTACGCGGGCTGGTCAACTAAAGTTCTTTCTGCTATTAGCCGAGAGAAGCCGGCAGGTGGTGCAAAGGAGCAATCATTTGTCACACTTACATCCGCCTGTAGCAGCAGCAGCAGCAGAATTTTAAATGAAAATGAAGCCGACACGCCTTGCGTCGTGCGCCAAGTGTCGGGCGATCGGCGACGGCACAACTCGGACACCTCTGGTTCTTCCTCAAGCACCAATTCTCACAACAATTCGCCCATCGGTTCACACAGTGACCGCGGGTGTAAGAAGAATGGCAAAACTGACCACGATCCCGTTGTGGGGGACGCAGTTATGTTACTGGAAGAACCTCGTGAGGTGCAGAACATCACGCCGCTGCCGACGTCTTTTACCAAAATGGAGGAGCAAATTGCAGCTCAGCAGGCATTGTTGCGCTCGATGTTTATTGAGGGCAAGAAGATTATGGAGCAGCAGCAAACTACTTACGGCGGAAAGGTCCGCCCTGCGCAACAACAGCGTTACATTGATCAGATACAGCCACTGGAAAGTGTAGATGACAAGGGTATACTCGCTCTGCCGCCAGCTTCGGCTTCTATCGAGTACATTGATTGAGTGTAAGCGTCACGAATCTCATCCATCCCTAGTCGGTCGCCGTGTCGTTGACTTTGTTGCTCAGATCTGTATTTTGCGTTGCTGTAATTCTTGTTGCAAGTGCCATATCTGAATTGTCTTGTAATTAAAACAGTTGTCTTAAGTCGCTTCTCGCATGCTTCGTTTGCTACGTCCATGCAGTATATAGTCCTAATGATGTAGCGACAATGGAACAACATGATCTCTGTTAGTACTACCAAAAGTAGTATCGTCCTTCCTCTAGCATGCAATGCATCCACAAAATAGCTTTTGCTTTGGAGCACCGGCAGAACTCGCCCCAGTCCTGTTACCAGATGCGTCACCGCACAGCCCAGCGTGCAAGCTCGCAAGCGTAGTCGACTCACTATATAGCAATTCTTCCTCGACATGCACCTGGTACTTCTGCGCAATCACACCTTGTAGCTGCGTCAATGCCATAGAGTCCAGACCTAACTCCTGTAGTGGCGTGTTGTCGTTAATTTGTGCGGCCTCCACGCCTACAGCGTGAGCCAGTTCGTTTACTAAAAATGTGTGCACTTCGTCTGGCCGCACGCCGGTGATCACTAATGGCAGATTCGACTTGGCTGCACCACCACCGCTCGTAACAACGCGAGGACCATTGACGCTTCGGTCCATGGACTCGCCGCCAGCCACAGCTTCATCACGTCCGTCGTCCTCCGCCGGAACATCGGCAATTATATCCTCATTGCGGTACAGCTCCTCTAATGTCTTCTCTTCGAGAGCCTTCTTGCATCGCGACCGCGAAATTTTGCCACTTGTTGTCTTTGGAATTGCGCGCGGAGCAAGCAATACAACCAGGGTCACCTTGACGCCGTGCTCACGTGCAATCGCGCTACGAATTTTTACACATAGACTCGCTTTGCTGGTCATCGTAGGATCCCGAAGCTCTGCAATTACTGCCAGCTTTTCCTCGTCATTATTTCCTCCAACCACATACGAGAATGCAGCGCAGCAACCTGGTCGAAGCTCTTGGTGAGATTCCGCCGTAGTCTCCAAGTCCTGAGGATAATGGTTACGACCGCGAATAATAATCAGGTCCTTCATACGACCACAAATAAATAGTTCTTGGTCGTAAATCACACCTATATCGCCCGTCTTCAGAAACATTTTGCCTTCATTGTCACCGGCTACCTTGGCCTGGAACGCTTCGGCCGAGATTTCACTCATTTCGTCACCATAATAGCCTTGCGCTTTTGAGGGGCTTGAAATCCAAATCTCGCCAGTCTCACCGTCCGGTTTTTCCTCCCCTGTTTCTGCGTCAACAATGCGGACGTCGATGCCGTAGTCTTTTCGCGATGGCACACCACAGCCGACCATTTCCTTCCCTATTCCAGATGCCATGGGCTTCTCCACCACTCTAAAAACGCCGTCATATTCCAAAGCCTCTTTATCAACCCACAGTCGTTGCTTTCCGCCCCCACAGACGTACACAGTGTGCTCTGCAAGCCCATACGTAGGCTTCACAACGTCATTCCTTAGACCAAAAGGCGATAAAGCACGGTAGAAACTGTCGATGGTCTCGCCCTGAATAGGTTCAGCCCCATTAATCATGTGTTGCACGCTTGACAGATTAATGTGCTCCCCATTATCGACCCCAGCAGCAAGTCGGTCGCACTTCCTTGCAAGAAGCGAGTAGGCAAAGTTTGGAGCCTGCAAGTGTGTCGCACGATGCTTAGAAACTAGTCGTAACCATAGACACGGGTCACGAATAAAGCTGAAAGGTGATAGGTACACACCCGTTCCACCATTGAAGATGGTGCCTAGATAGGCACCGATGAGTCCCATGTCGTGGTATTGCGGCAACCACGACACTACTATCGTATCTCGTCCAGCATGAAGTGCTGAGCTAATAATGCTCAGATTGTGATTTAGATTGCCATGCGATAGCACCACTCCCTTTGGAGCAGACGTAGATCCTGATGTGTACTGCAAAAATGCTGTGCTTTCGGCAAAAGGCGACTGAGTAAGCCAATGTTTCGCCGGGTCGATCCCCTTGGTACATACCAAATCGTCCGTCACGACCCACGACAAATCCTCTGGCCACTGAGTAGCATTTGACAGCAACAACTTCTCCTTCATGGCCGATATTTTCTTCACGTTGTAGTACATCGAACACGTGAGCGCCGTTTGAGCCTGGCAATTTTGCGTCACCGCCACAAACATGCTGATATCTTTCTTCATCTTTCGGGGATCTGGTGGGTACACGGGCACCGCTACAACCCCCGCTTTCAGACAAGCTAGGAAAGCTACTATAAAGTCCAATCCCGGAGGATACACCAGCAACACTCGATCTCCTGACTTCAACCCCAGTCTAGACAATTACACAAACACCACAAAAGGGTCAGAATCTCCCACCCCCCGTTCAAAACAACAGTATTTTGCACAAACCCTTTGCTTTGCTGCGCTGTAGAGGCCACAAGAAGCCACGCAAGATTTTGCACGCGTCGGTTGAGCTCCTGCACGTCAAGTATGTCGAATATCAGTCGAAAGCTCGTTTTTCAGCTCATACGAGGCTTTAAAGACCCAAAAAAGAAAGCATACCGCACAAGTGAGTGATGCCGTCACAATTCCCTTATCATCTGCAAATGATAGCATTGTCTAGAGCAAGAAAGAAGTGTTCGCATACAATAACACAGTTTAGCAAAAAGACCAAACATTCACGACGATTTCTAGCGTTTCAATAGAGCGTTTGAGCTCAAGTTTTTGCATATAGCTAGAGCTCTGTCTTGGTTACCTAACAAGATATTGTAGAACAGCAACACACCTTGGTAGGCGTCTCAGTAGCCCATTTCTCTACGCGGTCGAGCAGTTCTGATGGCATGTTACAAAATTAAAATGTCAATATTGAGAAGAAGCCAGTGTATGTTACATATGGATACATTATATCAAATTAGAGAGGGAAGAGGCTTCAACTTAATTAAACAAATCTTTTCGGTGATCAGACTGGCTATCTAAGTTGAAGCATTTTAGCTTTCTTATACAATGCATATTCAAAACCCTAGATTCTAAGCTTTAGACGGTATGTAAGCATCAATTAGGCAGATAAATCGAGGGACGCAAGCGTGCTCATCACATGAACTTTGTTGAACACGTTGATGATAATTACCGTATCCAGTGATTGCATACTAGAGTGTGTACCCGTCATTCCGACGGATATGGTGCACGAAGTCTACACTGATATGGGTATATAAGCATATGAGGCATCCTTGACCTAGCGTTTCGTTGTATACAGCATTGTAGATTAGTGACGCATCACGGAGTCTGCCTCTTACAGTACCGACACGTTCTGGGGCGCCGTCGTACGTTAGAAGGCAACGTACAATTGCCCATGCGAGACGTCATCTTCACGACTTATGCCGACCCTCTGCAGCGTCTGTCCCTGGGACTTGTTAATAGTCATTGTGTACGTGTGAAGATGTGCCAGGGGAATCGAAGCACCTCAAAGATATCATAATAAGGTTGTAAGAATCCAGGCCACTCCCTTGAGGAAATGACTAAGGTAGGCACAAGGTTCTGGACACCAAGATATAAAGCTCCAAAGATTATACAAGGCTCAAGGACCCCAACGGTGCAGAGCCGGTACAAGGTACAGGACTCCGACGGTACAGAGCCTCGACAGTGCAGATCTAGTACAAGTCCAGGATCCCGAATAGACACTTCTGTGGTGAAGTGCCAGGAGAATTGGGGCCCAGGGTACCAAGGACCCAGGGTACCAGGGTACAGGGGCCCCAGGGTACAAAGGCCCAGGCCTCGCAAGGTCCCAAGGTTCGATCGAGGGTCACCAGGGACAGGGTTTTCAGTTACCGGGGACCGGAGTACTAGTCACCAGGGACAGGGTTTTCAGTTACCGGGGACCGGAGTACTAGTCACCAGGGACAGGGTTTCTAGTAACCGGGGACAAGGGTATCAGTCACCAGAGACAGGGTACCAGGGACAGGGGTACCAGCTACCGGGGACAGGGGTACCAGTCACCGGGGACAGGGGTACCAGTTACCGGGGACAGGGGTATCGAAGGTTTAGGGTCCTGAAGTCATGCCAGGTTGCCCTACTGTGCAGAGCTGGCACAAGTCCAAAGAACCTGAAAGTCCAGTGCCTCGAGGGCATCCAAGTTCCCAAGGTGGAACAAAGGACTCAAGGTGAATCATGATCCAAGGTGGGACACAACCCAAGGTGGACCAGGACCCAAGGTGGTCCCGGCACCCAAGGTGGACCAGGATGACTCATGGTGACCGGTGGACCCTAAGTGACCGGTGGAACCAGATGACCGGTGAACCCCAGGTGACAGGTGGACCCCAGACAACAGGTGGGTCCCAGGTTACCAGTGGACCCCAGGGTGACCGTTGGACCCAGGTGGCCAGTGGACCCTAGGTGACAGGTGGACCCAGGTGCCAGGTGGACCCCAGGTGACAGGTAGACCCCAGGTGCCAGGTGGACCCAGGTGACTGGTGGACCCTAGGTGACAGGTGGACCCCAGGTGACAGGTGGACCCCCCGTGACAGGTGGACCCCGGTAACAGGTGGACCCCGGACAACAGGTGGACCCAGGTGACCGGTGGACCCCAGGGAATAGAAGGTACAAGGCTTCCTTAAAGTGCAGATCCGGTACAAGTCCCATGTCCTAAAAGAGCCAGTTGTTCTTCCACAAGTTGACACGTGGTACCATCCAGAGCGAAGGGTTAGGGTTTGGCAAGAAAAGCATACAGAGAATAAGATAAATAAACACACTCGAATTTGCATTACACGTGGCAGCTCCAAGAGCTTCCTTCAAGCTTCTCCGTCACCTCACCTATTCCGGGCGGGATACCCTTTGGCCCACCGACGTCAGGCGAGGTGACGGCTCAAGCAACGTAAGTTGAGCCTCAGGATAGTTGGCCTGAGGTGTCAAGTTAGTGTCAAGACTCAAGTGCGAGCTTGTTTCGATCTACCCACCTGTTCCGGGGAAGGGATTTGTTTTGGCCCCCCCCCCCGTTGGAGACAGACGTGTGGTAAGATTCAAGCTCGAACGAACCCCAGGAAGTATTTTGGCCTGTGGGTTCGTACCCATTCTACGACCCGCTATAGGAAGCGGTTTCCCTGCGGGGAACAAGAAAAGAGGTCGAAAGACCAAGAAACCGTTAGCCACCGAAGGGGTACATAGTACCAGGTGCACTGCTCTCGACCCAGTCGATTGAGCCCAAGAAACCCTGGGCCCGAGTGAAGCATACCCACTCGTGGCCCCCAAGTCCCTCCATACAAGACCAAGTCTTTAAGTATTCTGCGTCTAACGAGGAGCAAGACCAGCCAAGCCGACGGGTACACAAGGTGAGACCCAAGGTTGACGCGACACGGTATCGGGGTACCCCCTCCGTAAGTCGGCAGTCCGGCGCTGTGTGTGTTTGTGGTTCTCTCACGTCGTTTGAGAATCCACTCCACCACAATGGTGCGCGTGCCCGGATCTTTGGGAGACGCGGGATTTCACCGTGAGTCCACGAAGAAGAAAAGACAACGGTCAAGGTAGACCAAGGGACAATAAAGACACTGGAAACCGGATCGCCAGTGATCAAGAAGGAAGAAGGATCGGAGGACCTGCAGAGCCCGGGGAGGAGCTCTGCTATTGAGGTCAAGGTGGAATATGAAGAAAAACCACAAATCCCCCTCTTATGTCTTCGTCGAAGAAGACAACATGGGCCATAATAAATATTATGGTCCAGGGTTCCCAAGTTTGACAGCAAAAGCTAAAAAACAATGGACCCCGAAACAAGTCTCCCAAACTGCCAACGGTGCCCAAGGACACAAAGAAGAAACAGAATCGGTTTGAAGCAATGCGAAGTCACGATGAGTAGAGGGGAGAGTTCATCTTGGGAAGGCCAAGATGATGCAAGAAGGAGGCGGTATTTGTTCTACATTTACGAATGGGTCAAGTTAGAGATTCGAGAGTGCGGCAGCACAGAAGAAAATGCGAAGTATTGTGCAGCCCCGAAGGCTCAAGGTCCCGAGTGCCCAGGATACAGAGACTCACTCGGACGAGGATCAGTATATAAAATTGAAAGTGACAATGGAGAAGCATTAAAGTGGAATGACCACATGGACATTAACTGCTATTCCAAAGGGAAAGGACAAGGGTGCACGTGGTCTTGTCGCAGTTCGGAAGACCAGCGCGCAGGAGACAGATGTGGTGAAGTGCCAGGAGAATCGGGGCCCAGGGTACCAAGGACCCAGGGTACAGGGTACCAGGGTATAGGGGCCCCAGGGTACAGAGGCCCAGGCCTCGCAAGGTCCCAAGGTTCAATCGAGGGTCACCAGGGACAGGGTTTTAAGTTACCGGGGACCGGAGTACTAGTCACCAGGGACAGGGTTTCTAGTAACCGGGGACAAGGGTATCAGTCACCAGAGACAGGGCACCAGGGACAGGGGTACCAGCTACCGGGGACAGGGGTACCAGTCACCGGGGACAGGGGTACCAGTTACCGGGGACAGGGGTATCGAAGGCGTAGGGTCCTGAAGTCATGCCAGGTTGCCCTACTGTGCAGAGCTGGCACAAGTCCAAAGAACCTGAAAGTCCAGTGCCTCGAGGGCATCCAAGTTCCCAAGGTGGAACAAAGGACTCAAGGTGAATCATGATCCAAGGTGGGACACAACCCAAGGTGGACCAGGCCCCAAGGTGGTCCCGGCACCCAAGGTGGACCAGGATGACTCATGGTGACCGGTGGACCCTAAGTGACCGGTGGAACCAGATGACCGGTGAACCCCAGGTGACAGGTGGACCCCAGACAACAGGTGGGTCCCAGGTGACCAGTGGACCCCAGGGTGACCGTTGGACCCAGGTGGCCAGTGGACCCTAGGTGACAGGTGGACCCAGGTGCCAGGTGGACCCAGGTGCCAGGTGGACCCTAGGTGACAGGTGGACCCAGGTGACCGGTGGACCCAGGTGACCAGTGGACCCCAGGCGACTGGTGGACCCAGGTGACCGGTGGACCCAGGTGGCCAGTGGACCCAGGGTGACCGTTAGACCCAGGTGGCCAGTGGACCCCAGGCGACTAATGGACCCTAGGTGACCGGTGAACCCCAGGTGACAGGTGAACCCCAGGTGACAGGTGAACCCCAGGAGACAGGTGAACCCCAGACAACAGGTGGGCCCCAGGCGACAGGTGGACCCCAGGTGACAGGTGGACCCCAGACAACAGGTGGACCCAGGTGACCGGTGGACCCCAGGTGATAGGTTGACCCAGGTGACCGGTCGACCCAGGTGACCAGTGGACCCCAGGGTGACCGTTGGACCCAGGTGGCCAGTTGACCCTAAGTGACAGGTGGACCCAGGTGACCGGTGGACCCCAGGTGACTGGTGGACCCCAGACAACAGGTGGACCCAGGTGTCCAGTGGACCCCAGGTAACAGGTAGACCCCAGGTGCCAGGTGGACCCAGGTGACTGGTGGATCCTAGGTGACAGGTGGACCCCAGGTGACAGGTGGACCCCCCGTGACAGGTGGACCCCGGTAACAGGTGGACCCCGGACAACAGGTGGACCCAGGTGACCGGTGGACCCCAGGGAATAGAAGGTACAAGGCTTCCTTAAAGTGCAGATCCGGTACAAGTCCCATGTCCTAAAAGAGCCAGTTGTTCTTCCACAAGTTGACACGTGGTACCATCCAGAGCGAAGGGTTAGGGTTTGGCAAGAAAAGCATACAGAGAATAAGATAAATAAACACACTCGAATTTGCATTACACGTGGCAGCTCCAAGAGCTTCCTTCAAGCTTCTCCGTCACCTCACCTATTCCGGGCGGGATACCCTTTGGCCCACCGACGTCAGGTGAGGTGACGGCTCAAGCAACGCAAGTTGAGCC